GGGCTTCTCAGGTCTCTACGACCGAGCTCCCAAATTTGGGGTCGAAGCCCACACAGCCCTGAGCCCCCTACACCCTTAAAGCCTGCAGTTATCCCTCCCCCCAAAGAAAGACAAAAAAAAACTCACGCTGTGGATTCAGGTCTTAGACTCCAGCCCACATCACCCAGAGGAACCCACAATCCCGAAAGAACCCATGTTTGGGCTTGTTGGGGGCGCTTTGAGGTTTGGGGTTCAGGGTCCAAGAGAACCCAACGTCACCTGCCGACCAACCCACATGCCCTTACATAGGAGCATGGCATGATACTTCTTCGTCTAATAGGGAATGAGAGGGAACTAGGTGACCCTCAGAAATTCCTTAAAGGGTATGCATAGGAGGATAGAAGGTACCTAGCTCCCTCCTGCCCTAGCAGGAGTCAGTGGGTGATTGGGTATACTTCTGCCTCTTCTTTACGCTGCCGGCTCGACTGGAAGGCTGAGAGTCGCAAGTAGTGTTAACACAGGTACAGGGTTTAGGGTTTAGGGTTTAGGGTTTAGGGTTTAGGGTTTAGGGTTTAGGGTTTAGGGTTTAGGGTTTAGGGTTTAGGGTTTAGGGTTTAGGGTTTAGGGTTTAGGGTTTAGGGTTTAGGGCGTAGTTGCCTGCAGCCCTGATTCAACCCCAAACCCTATGTGAACCCCTAAGCCTCACAACCCCCCCAGCCCGAACTCAACAACCGAACTCAACAACCTAAACCCGAAGGCACTCCTAAACCCCAAACCCTAAACCCCACACCCCAGAGCCCTAAACCCAAACCCCAAACCCCAGAAGAACTGTTGAGGCCATATTTGAGCCATGTGGCCCGGCAGCCGCGTGCCCAGTGACGCGCAGCCCACTGCGGGGCCCTAGACCCGGTACTGCCACCTGCTTTAGGAGGCTCGGGGTTCCCTGTAAGCCCTAAGCCCCGCTTCGGGACTGTGAATTTTAGGCGCTTTGGTTTTTGCAGGTTTGAGGGGATTTCGGGTTTATGGGGTTTCGGGTTTTGGGTTTAGGGATTAAAGGATTCTGGATTTCGGGTTTGTAGGGTTAGGGAAGCTTAGGGCTTACGGGGTTTGGGGGTTGAATATGTGCTTAGAACTTCGGGCTTGGCGTTCTATGGCAATTACCTGGGCTGTATGTCGCCCTTGCAGATATGAAAAGGTCGCAACAGAGGCCTGTTCAAAATTATGTGTCCTTCTTGGCAAAAATGAATATACGCCCCCGCACAGTGTGAGTATCAAACTACCCCCGAAAGCCCTAAACTCTGCCCTGCCAACTCCCAAAACTTCAATGAATCGGGGGGTTTTGTGCCAAGGGTAAATAAACCCTGAACCCTGAACCCTAAACCTGAACCCTAAACCCCAAACCCAAACCCCAAACCCCAAACTCCAAACCCCAAACCCCAAACCCCAAACCCTAAACCCCAAACCCTAAACCCCAAACCCTAAACCCCAAACCCTAAACCCCAAACCCAAAACCCTAAACCCCAATCCTAGCGATCCTCGAGGTCCGAGGGTGCCTCCACCTCCTCGGAGGAGGCCTCCGAGAAGTCCAAAGCCGCTTGGAAGGGCTCCCCGGTGGCCTTCACCGTCCCGTAGACCTGAAGTCCCGAAGATTGGGTTTGGGGTTTAGGGTTTCGGGTTTGGGGTTTGGGGTTTAGGGTTTGGGGTTTGGGGTTTAGGGTTTGGGGTTTGGGGTTTGGGGTTTGGGGTTTGGGGTTTAGGGTTTGGGGTTTGGGGTTTGGGGTTTGGGGTTTGGGGTTTGGGGTTGGGGTTTAGGTTTAGGGTTCAGGGTGTACTCAGGATTCTAGGATTACTTGATGTTATTTGGGGGGGGTATTGAGGGCTAGATTATATGCTCTTGAAAATTACTTCGGGTTCAGGGTCTATAGGGTTTATAGTTTATACAATTTAGGTAGCCTTAGAGCTCCGAAAAGATCCCTAAATCACAAGAACTGTGCCACCCAGTAAACCCTAGAAACCCGAAAGGTTAAAAACCCTAAGAGCCCTAAACGTCTTTCAACTTTCAACCCTTGAAGCCCCCAAGCGTGGGAGACTGAAACCTATGAAGCTGTAAAGCCACAGGCAGTGCCCCCTCCAACTGTTGGGTGTTAAGAGTTCCTAGGTGTCTGCAAGAGACACTTTTTTCCGGTGCTACAGGCATCTTGTGATTTTGTGTATTGTGTAAGATGAACGGCTGTTATGTAGGTGCGTGTTTGTGGTTTCTGGTGTCAACACCACGCAAACTCCAAATTGGAGGAGCTTCGAAACCTGGCAACAGCGCCTCGGGGCCAAACTTTGACATTGTAGGGTTCGTAGAGTTTCGGCTTCAGGGTGGGTCGGTCTCGAAACCCTAAACCCTAAGCCCTATAAACCCTAAAGACTCTTACTAAAGACCAAACCCTAAACCCTGTACCCTGTACCCTGAACCCTAAACCCTAAACCCTAGCCAAGGCCTCTGGTGGTGTCGACTGCAGCGTCAAGGACTCCAGTTCGTACAGCCAACCTCTGGGTCTCAGCAAGACCTAAACCCCGCATACCCTAAACCCTAACCCTAAACCCTATTACCCTAAACCCCACTTACCAAACCCTAACCCCTAAACCCTATAAATACTTAACCCCGTGCGCCCGTGCTTTGTGAGTCCGAAGCATGCAGGAGCAACTCGCTTTGGTATGGCATTTGGTTTTGGAAAGTTTTTATGGTGTCGCTTGAGCCTAGGGCCTAGAGCTTCCATGCGACACCAAACCTCTCTTGAGTCCTGGAACAGCGGCCTGCAGAGTCCCACAACTGGACAAGAATCAGCCTCCCAGCCTGCCACTTCCGAAGCTCCAACCCTGCATGCTAGACCCTAAACCCTAGACCTAAACCCTAAACCCTAAACCCTAAACCCTAAACCCTAAACCCTAGCGCCTGATGGCAGAAGCTTCACCTCGCAGCGCTGGGAGCGCAGCGACACGAGCGAGACCATGGCGTTGGCCGAGGTAGGGAGATTGGGGGTTTAGGGTTTAGGGTTTAGGGTTTAGGGTTTAGGGTTTAGGGTTTAGGGTTTAGGGTTTAGGGTTTAGGGTTTAGGGTTTAGGGTTTAGGGTTTAGGGTTTAGGTAGGGAGATTGGGGGTGGGAGGGGTCGGGGGCCCAGGTAGGGGGTTCTGATGTGGGCAAGTTTGGAGTTGCGGCTTCAGGGGTAAGTTTATATGGTAGAAGTTTACCATTTAGGGTCCAGGGTTTAGGGTGTCTGCATATGGGAGGGAATCTAAGAAGTGGGCCATGACGCAGAGAACACGCCATGTTGGCGTTTGGGGTTTTGGTCAGAGGCTTGCGGTTCGGGGGCTTGGGGGGGGTCAAGGGGGCTAGGGCTTGGAGTCGGGGTGGTTGCAGTCTTTTCGGCGTAGGGTTGGGGTGTCAAGCAGCCAGACGTTCAGAGCCGTCTGCTTCCCTGGCATCTATGAGCTGCAGCCGGGGGACCAGGGTGGGGTGGGGGGGGAGGGGGAGGATTTTCCGAGCCTTATATCCCCAAAGCTACACTCGGAGCCCTGGCCCTGTGAGTCCTCGCAACCCTGTGAACCTTGTCGTATAGCCCTTCTAAGCTCTCTGAAAATTAGAAGCCGCCCTACAAAACAACTACTAACCTACCGCTACCATGCCATAGCTCAAGCAGGCAGCATACCCTGTACAGTAGGGTCATAGGCTGCTTGCAAGGAAAATCAGCAAGTATCCATTATCATGTGTAATCCGATAGTTCAGAAGATGTCTTGCACATTCTATTTATGTAAGAAATAGTCTATTGGCTGCCATTGTTCCTGTCATTGTTCTTGAGGTTGACGCTGTTTTTGGTGTTGCTTACGTTGTTGCTACTGCACGTGCCGCTGTCAATTCTGCATGCACTGTTGTAGTGGCGCTCACGCATGCCAGGCAAAACTCTGAACCCAAATTCCCAAACCAGACCTGCAGCACAATTTGCAGGCTTGGACGCATCTGCTTCCCAGAGTGCTCAGCCTTCTAATGCGCTGGTCTTATGCCAGACTGCCAAAGGACTTCTCACAGTACCCGCTTTTTAGTATGGCTTTTTGTGCTAACGCCATCGTAACACCACACCCTAAATCCTACACCCAGAGCAAGGCCCTCAGCGTGTTGCGCAGAGTGAAACGGCATCACTTGAAGCTACATGGGCAATTCTGCTCTAAACACCACAAGCTTTAAACCCCAAACCCTCAACCCAGCACCTTAAACACTAAACCCTAAACCCTGCTGAGGTGGACCTTGGGAGTTTAGAACCCTAGAATTGTAGAAACCCAAAAAACCCAGAACCCTAAACCCTAAGCCCCAAACCCCAAATCCTACACCCTAAATCCTAACTAGAGCACCGATTGCCCATCCGGACTTGACGGTTCCGCGAGGCCGCCCTCGCGATTTTCGCCGTCGATGAAGGCGCCGCCGCCTCTGGCAAGGGAGCATTACAGCGTTTGGGGTTTGGGTTTAGGGTTTAGGGTTTCGGGTTTAGGGTTCTGGGGTTCGAGGTTCGAGGTTTGGGGTTTAAGGTTCTGAGGTTTGGGGTTTTGGGGGTTTAGGGTTTAGGGATTAATTACCCAAAAGGTGCCGTTTTTTGTTGAAGGAGGGTTTATAAGAGAGACTCACCCTTGCTGCCTTCCAGATGGAGACATGAAAGTGGAGAGTTAAAGGGCCTGTAAGGATTGGCAGGCTTCGGGACTTGGTGAGGTATCTCGGGATTCCTATAAACCCTAAACCCTAAACCCTAAACCCTAAACCCTAAACCCTAAACCCTAAACCCTAAACCCTAAACCCTAAACCCTAAACCCTACCTAAACCCTTACCCTAAGCCGCGCGCTTTGTCCTGAAATCGAGCGAGCCGTTGGGAGGAGGGAAGAGGCGGCTCATGGAATGAGCAACGTGTGTGCTCAGGCTCGACGTCGAATTGCTCCGGTTCCTGGGTCCTTCTTGTAAGGGATCCCATGATAAAAGGGCACATCGTCAGTAGTCAGGGGCACAAGGGAATTGGGGCAATAAAACTTCGGATTCTTGCTTGCGCTGAGCCAGAATCTCGGACACGGCCCACGAGTCATCAGAGGTCGCGGTCGCTGCAAGCCATGCGACACGCTCATCTATCTCAGAGATGAGATGCTGACCTCTGGGGCGTACAGCCTCAAAGATCCAAGGCTTACCAGCCCACATCGCTTCCGCCCTCCTTTCTGGCTCTTCCAGCTGGACATGGAAACCGGCACCCTGCAGGAGTGAATGCCACTTTGCCCGTGGAAAGAGGACCTTGCCGATCGAGATCTTCAGGTTCTCTTGGGTCTTAATCATGAACACCAAGCTCCCTTCGGGTCGCAAAACTCTGTGAATGTCTGTCAGGAGCTTTGCGAGAGCCTCTTCTTGGAAGTAGTACAAGGAGAACCTTGAGAAAACCACATCGAAAGACCCATCTGGAAATGGCAAAGTTTCAGGCAACGTGTGCGGAATGACCTTGATGTTATGCTTTTGGAGATTGGGAGCGTAGCATGGGAAGGAAGACGCAGGCAACTCGCCTGGCCTCCGGCCGGGTCGGTCAAACGATTTCGGACAGGAACGCTTCGAGGATTCTGCTGGCCGGTCCAAGGCAGTAATCTCCACCCATGGCGCTTGCTTGCGCAACTCAAGGGCCTCCTGGCCCGACCCGAATCCCAATTCTAGGACCGCCCGTTGCTCGCAGTGGGGCAGCTTTGCAGCAACTCGGGCAACGAACTCCCTATCCGGCTCCGTGCGCACCAACTTGTCAAAGTTGCTGGCACCAGAAGGAGGAGCAGCAGCGTGATGAACGACCCTGATGCTTTGAAGGTCGCCTGCGTCTGGAGGTGCAAAGGACGTGCGGTGGTTCAGTACTACAACAACCAGGACCATTCGGGGCGCTTGCCAGATCCACTTTAGCCTGGCCACGCGCGCCATGAATTCCCCGACCTTTGGGAGAATCTAGAGTCCAAAATGACTTCCGCGCATGCGCGCGGAGTGAGCAAAACCTAAAGCCTAAACCCAATAGTTCAGCCCTGTAAACCCTGCAAACAAACCTTCCCCACACACCCATAAAAACCCCAATCTCCTTCGAAGATCCTCCCAGGAGTCAATGACTTCCCGCATCCTAAACCCTAAACCCTAAACCCTAAACCCTAAACCCTATATAAACCCTAAACCCTAAACCCGAAACAGCCCTGCTCCTAGCTGAGCAGCCCGGGTGTGGCCCTCGGGCAAACGGCCGTGGAACGCTGCCAGGGTGTAGGGCTTACGGTTTAGGGTTGGGTTTAGGGTTTAGGGTTTAGGGTTCAGGGTTCAGGGTTTAGGGTTTAGGGTTTAGGATTTAGGGTTTAGGGTTTAGGGTTTAGGGTTTAGGGTTTAGGGTTTAGGGTTTCGGGTTTCGGGTTTAGGGTTTAGGGTTTGGTTCACTTGAGGATTTGGGATGTATTCCTAGATCGTCGCTCAGAGTGGCGAGGTCTTCCGGCTCAGGGTTTCGGGGCTAGATCAAATCGCCCCCCAGACTATATTAGCCCTAAACCCCTAAACCCTAAACGCGCACGCCAGTCGCAAAGTGCAGGCTGGTCTCTTCTTGCTTGGCAGGAGAGGGAGATGTCTGCTCTAGATTCATCCAACAAGAAGGGGCCTTTCGTCATGGGTAATTATTGTGGGCAGTCTTATGCGTCTGTATTAAACCATCTAGGAGATCTGAGTGGAACATGTTGCGTACTCATTGTAGGTTGCTAAACCCTCAACCCTAAACCTGAAGCCCTAAACCCTAAACCAGAGGCCTGCCCAGCAACCAGGGAATCGCTCTTGGGGCTTAGAAGTGCCGTTTTCTACACGATCCAAGAAGGGTATCACAAGTAGTGCCCCGAAAAATGTGCCTAAACTTGGACCCTATAAAATGGTAAGCCTAAGACATCCCCAGGGCCTGCCTGCCCTGCAAGCCTGCATGTAACTCTCCAGGGGCAGTCCACCAAATTAGGGTCCCTTACTGGACATAAACCATAGTGTCACAGAGCTGGCCCATCAGACCTTCTGGCGTTGCGATCATCTCGATCTGGGTATCCAGGCCTGACCATGCTTGGGGTGTGTTTAGGTCGGGGGCTTAGGGTTTTTGGGGTTTAGGGGTTTAAGGACGAAGGTTCAAGGCTCTAACGACAAAAAGCATCTAAATGTCAACACAGACCGACGTGGCTGAAGCTCATATTTTCCCCGTAAGCATCATCGAATGCTACACAAGCCCTGAAGGCCGTTACAAACAAGCGAAACAAGGCGAAACAAAAACAGCCGGGGGGGGGGGGGGGGGGGGGGGGAGTGGTTGTAGCTGCTTTCTTGGGCGAAGGCGAGCGGCTAGATCGTTCATGCGTTTCTGGCTTCTTGCTGAGGAACTTGAATGAAGCTACCCCAATCAGACGCTGCCTTGCTACTTAGCAGCTGCCACTCAACTGTTCAATCGGCGAAGCTTGACATTCACAACCACTTTGCTGAGGATGTCTGCGCATTCCGTAGATGCTGCCCTCCCTCCCTCACTCACTCTCCCTCTCTCTCTCTCTTTCCCTCTCTCTCTCTATTCCTGCCCTCCTTTCTCTCTCTCGGGCCTGTCTCACCGAAAACCACGAGCAGCTTGTTTTCTGCTCATCGCTCCACAAAAAGCAGTGCTTGGGTGCTCTCGCATCTGCAAAAACAACGCAAAAACAATGTCTCAGGCAGGGTCCTACGCACAAGTGCGCGTTTGACGTGACGACTCGGTGCCGCGATCATTTCGATCCTCCGCTTTGCGGGAGCCTCCTCGTGCACAATCTCGTCCATGCAGCCCTAAACTCAGGGCCTAGGCCGCCCCCCTACAGAGGGGGGGCGGCGCTTAAGCCCTTCGACCTCTATGGCGAAAGTCCACCCAGGTCGCTTGCCCGCCTCCTGCAGCCCGGAGGTCGGTAGCACCCACGATGGGCCCGGTACCGGAGCAGGTTCTCCCGGGGACCAGTACTGGTCCCCTTAATAAAGTAAAAACCCTAAACCCCAAGGGATGGGGCTGGCATTTCGGGGGGGGGTACCCCAAGGCCCCCAGGCCAGGAGGACCCGGAGCCCCCACCGCAGCGTGTCCAGGGACCAGGGGGCCTCAGGCCAGGCCAGGCAGAGCGGGTGCTCAAAAAGCTGATTTTTGGGTCCTGGCCCTTGCCCTGACCCATTGGCCCCCCCCCTGGCCCCCCTGGCCCCCCCTGGCCCCCCTGGCCCCCCCTGGCCCCCCCTGGCCCCCCCTGGCGCCCCCTGGCCCCCCCTGGCCCCCTCTGGGTCTCGGCCATCCCTGGCCTCCCTGGTCCCCTGGCCCTCTGGCCTCTGGCTCTGGCCTTTCTTGGCCCCCTTGACCCTTGGCCCTTTCGGCCCTTGTCAGCTCAGGCCCCCCACAAAATCAACCCACACCTACTTTGGGCAGTTTTGGCACCCTTTTTCCTGAGCCCCGCTGGCCCCCGTCTGGCCCCCTGTCTGCCCCCGGCTCTCGTTGGCCCTTCTGCCCACCTCTTGTGGCCCCCGCTAACCCTGTCAGCCGGGACCTGGCTACAAACCTTATTCTTGGATGTTTTTTTTGAAAAGTAAGCGATTGTCATGAGTTTAGGCCTAAACCCTAAAAGGAATAGGTTTGGGTGGTTTTGCCGCCTCGGACGGCGTGGGAAAAGTTTTTGATGGCCCTCCAATATCGGGCCAGGAGCTGCTCTGCGCATTTGCCGAGGCATTCGAGCCGCTGCTGCATCCTAGCCTTCACAGCATCTACGCCCTATCACAGCAAACCCTAAACCCTAAACCCTAAACCCTAAAGCCTAAACCCTAAACCCTAAACCCTGAACCCTAAACCCTAAACCCTAAACCCTAATCTGTCCAAGGACCCGAATGGACCCCAAAACCCACTGAGCTATCGCGGGCTTCGCGTCCGGCTGCAGCCCAAGGCAAACTACACCCAAACACCCAAACACCCACAAACACCCACAAACACCCAAACACCCAAACACCCAAACAATCAAACACCCAAACACCCCCAACACCCCCAACACCCAACACCCAAAACCTTAACCCCCCAACCCCCCCAACCCCCCCAACCCCCCCAACCCCAAAAACCCTGTGCCTGGCAGCTGCTTCCGAAGATACCTCCGTGGTGCACGGAGGTCGCCCTGGCCCGTGGACATGGCGGCTTTGGCTGCAGCTTTCGGGTTTAGGTTTATAGGGTTTAGGGTTTAGGGTTTAGGGTTTAGGGTTTAGGGTTTAGGGTTTAGGGTTTAGGGTTTAGGGTTTAGGGTTTAGGGTTAGGGTTTAGGGTTTAGGGGCTTAGGGAATAAAGGGCTTGGTGCTTCGGGCTTAAGGTTCGGGTTTGGGGTTTAGGGTTTGAGGCTCAGGGTTTTGGGCGTAGGGCTTAAGGATTCGGAGTGTTGGCGGCCTGGGTTCTGTAGGGCTTGGCAGTTTTGGGTGGTGGACTAAAGAAATGCAGCCACCATGAACTCTGAAGCTGCACTCTCAAGCGGGAACCCTACACGTTCTCTGCGGATGAATTCGCACCGGAAGGACAAGAACCTGGGACTGACTCTCATTTCAATAGGTATGCAAACCCCAAAGAACAAAAGCTTCTTGGGGTAGTTACATGGTCCCTTAATATGGGCCCTTACTGGGGGACCCCTTTTTCTATACCCTTTATATACCCCTTTTATACCCCTTATCGACCTCAGGGCCCGTACATCAACACTCCTTTTTAAGGGGGTAAGGGACCATCTTAAGAGACCATAGAACTACCCTTAGAAAGTTGAGCCTTGCGGCTCTTAGTCGGCATACAAGATAGGCAGAGCTGGAGGGGAAAAAAAACTGAGCCCAACCTACCTTCTGAGTAGGCTTCCTACAGCCTAGAACCCTGAACCCTAAACCCCAAGCATGTGGTCTGATATAAGCTCGGCCTGATTCACCCCATGCCCTATACCCGAAACCTTAGAACCTAAAGCGTCAACCCGAACCCTATGAAACCCGCGGCGCCTCGAGAACCACAAGCACTGGGTCCCGGTAGCAAGCAGGCACCGAGTCCGACAGAAGGATGGCCTCTCCCAACGGGATGGGAGTGAGTTTAGGGCTTAGGGCTTAGGGCTGAGGGCTTAGGGCTTAGGGTTTTAGGGTTTTAGGGTTTTAGGGTTTTAGGGTTTTAGGGTTTCGGGTTTAGGGGCTGTAGGGTTGCTTTAGGGTTTGGGGGCTTCAGGGGCACGTCAGGGATTCATTGCCTTGGGATGCAGAGGGGCTTTTGGAGGCTTACTTGTCCAGTATCCTTGGGGAACTAAACGTTAACCTTTGGGATTATCAGAGGAATGTCATACCCCAAAAGGGTTAAAGCTTACCTACTCTACTACTAAGGAGGGTTCAGGCTTTCCATGTTGCAGAACTTCAAGGGGCTTCAGGGCTTTCGGGCTTCGATGCAGTGGGGGCGATAGGCACTCCTCCTGGCTTCGTAAGCTCGGCCGAAAGGTTCCCAGGTACCTACCCTAGGGTTTAGGGTTTAGGGTTTAGGGTTTAGGGTTTAGGGTTTAGGGTTTAGGGTTTAGGGTTTAGGGTTAGGGTTTAGGGTTTAGGGTTTAGGGTTTAGGGTTTAGGGTTTAGGGTTTAGGGTTTAGGGTTTAGGGTTTAGGGTTTAGGGTTTAGGGTTTAGGGCCGAGTTAGACCTTACGGCCCTTATGGACCGAAACCTTAGATACAGTTCCGAAGCCGAAGCCCTACAAGCTGCAAGGCGACTGCAGCCTCCCGAGCCCTAAACCCTAAAACTTGAACCCCAAGGGTTTAGGGTTTAGGGTTTAGGGTTTAGGGTTTAGGATTTAGGGTTTAGGGTTTAGGGTTTAGGATTTAGGGTTTAGGATTTAGGGTTTAGGGCCTAACTAACCCAGCCCCAAAACCCTAATGAAGGCTTTCGAGCTTGCGAGCCTCAGTCATTTTCTTTGCGCAGGTTTGACTCTGCCCCCTCGGAGGCCCAATGAACCCTAAAAGGAAGAGTGGGCCTATATACCTCAAGAGGAATTAGGGGCGGGTTTAGGGGCTATAGAGGGTTTAGGAGGTTTTGCTGTTTCAGCTCTACTAGGGGGTTTAGGGTTTGAAGGGCTTAGAGTTGAAAGAGGGCCGGTTCGCTTGGGCCCCCCTTCAAGGGCCCTGGCAAGCAGACAGCCGGAGGAAGCGTGGGGCCTCTTTAAGGCCGCACGGAAGAGCCGACTGAGGAGCTCTCATACGATCGGAAGGCTCCCAGGGTTCAAGGTAGGGCTTTGTGAAGGGTTTGGGTTTAGGGTTTGGGGCTTAGGTTTTGGGATTTCGGAAGGGTTTGTAGGGTTTCGGGGGGGCGGGGTTGGGTTTCGTTGTCAGGGTAGACGCAGGTTTCGGGTTTACGGGGTTTAGGGGCTTGGGGGTAGACTCGGGTTTTCGGGCTTTGGGGTTTCGAGGGTTGAGAGAAAGCCCTGGACCCCGAACCCTGAACCTTCCGAATTTGAGAAAGGCCCATGTCACCCATGTGCTGAGCACCATGGCTTCTCGGGTAAGTGCCCGGCCAAAAGCACAGGCAAATGCTGGCTGAGTAGTGTTCTGTGAGGTAGCATCTTGAAAAAAACAGAGGAGGCTTGAGATTCTGGGGGTAAAGGGTTTATAGGTATTAGGGCCTAGAGTTCTAGATTTATTGTGTTTAACTAGGGTTTGGTGAGGTTCGGGCCTTTGAGATTTTGCCATGTGTGTCTTCCAATAGACTTACGCACTCTTGCTGCAAGCGACCTGCAGGCCAATAGCCGCTCCGAACACTGCTCATTTCCAGGGCAGATGCTACAGTTCTGCAGCCTGCAAACACCGACACCTGGCAGGAAGAACAAGCCTCAGCTGTAGGAAAGCGCCGTAATTTCGAGCACCAAGCACATCAAGCCTAGATTTTGCTGGTAGAGGGCTTCTATCAGGCTCCTATCCTCGATTCTGCTACTTGAACCCTAAACCCTAAACCCTAAACCCTAAACCCTACATACTTGAACTGCGCAGTGAGCCAACAAATGGCAGCAACTCCTGCATCTGCAGACCCTGAGCCCTAAAACCCGGAGGGGCACCAATAAACCCTAAACCCTAAACCCTAAACCCTAAACCCTAAACCCTAAACCCTAAACCCGAGAGACTCTAGATGGATCTAGATGGCATGTTTCAGCCCTGTTGCAAGAGGAGCTGGCTGATCTCTCCGTCGGGTCCCTACTTGGATCGAATTCCCTTGGCACTAGGAGTCCGCAGATAGCCCCTGTGGGCCTGGTTAAGGGTTGAAGGTGTAGTTGGGGGGTTGATCTAAGCTACTAGACTCTTTGTGGCCTCTATTCTCGACAAACCTCCACAGTTTAGGTTTCCAAGCAAGCCCATAATGAGTTAAATCATGTCCCGCTACCTCCCCCGCCCGGGGTTTCGAGCAGGGCTTCAAGCCCTAATCCTGAACTGTACGGGGGTAAGGAGGGGTTGGGGAGTCCCTTGGCTTGTCCCTAAAAAGCTCTACAAGCCCCGGTTCGAACCTTACGCCCTAGTACAATCATGTATTGTCGGGTTTTTGGGCAGGAATGTTAGATCCGCTGATCTATTGTGTGACATCAGGTTTGTTGGGCAAAAGGTTGTTAAAGGCGCAGGGGAGAAGCCCTACTAAAGACTCTAAACCCTGACATGCCCTAAACCCTGAATACCCGAAACGATTGAACCCCAGAGGCCCTGAACTCTGAACTCGCAAAGCCCCTTAAAGTCTACAAAACTGGTTCATAGCTGGGATAGAAATAAAAATTCAAAATTTTATTCTTATTGAGTTTAAGTACCCTTAAAAATGTAAAATGTTATCCCACTATGACAAAGAAAAGAAACGCATGTCACGCTGGAGAGTGCCAAGGACGTGCATGGTCCGAATTAGCTGGCATCGGTCTTGCCGAGGTGACGCAAAGGGCTCCGTGCACATGTTGGGCTTAGTCTTTCGGGGTTCGTAGCCGCAAAAGAAAGAGGAACCCTGTCACTCACTAGGCCCTTGTGACCTAAACCCCAACCTTAACCCCTTACAATCGCGAAACCCCAGCAAAGCCCTGCCAAGGAAACAAGGGTACTACTTGGCATGGAAGCAAGACACTAAACCCTGCAAGGGTACCCGCTTGACATCCTGGAACTCCCCCAGAACCCAACCGCGGTGTGCCGGGAGCCTAGTGCTTTGAGGTGTTAGGGCTGTAGGCTGTGGGGGTTGATGTAGGGTTTTAGGATGTAGGGCTTGAGGGCTTGAGGGTTTCTAAACCCTAAACCCTAAACCCTAAACCCTAAACCCTAAACCCTAAACCCTAAAACCCTAAAACCCTAAAACCCTAAAACCCTAAAACCCTAAACCCCTAAACCCTAAACCCTAAACCCTAAACCCCAAGCAGGGGACGTAATGCTCCGAAGGCACCTCGGGCAGCTGGTGCACGTCCGACCTCACTTCCGGCCACCTGGCGGCAAAACTGAATCCCAAACGGTCCCCAAATTCCATAAGCGCCTCTACACCCTAAACCCTAAACCCTAAAACCTAAACCCTAAACCCTAAACCCTAAAACCTAAAACCTAAACCCTAAAACCTAAAACCTAAGCTGGCACCTGAAATTCTATGCTCCTTGGGCCCTCAAGCGCTTAAGCCGAGAGCGCGCTTCACCACCGTCCTCGACGGGTCTATCGAGGTGGTTTAGGGCTTGGGGCTCGCGGGTGCTATCGGGTGCTTGGGGCTTGTAGGGTTTAGGGTTTAGGGTTTAGGGTTCAGGGTTCAGGGTTTAGGGTTTAGGGTTTAATGTTGACTTCACATTAATGATTCCCGCCGCAATTGTAAAATCCAGCTGCCGGAACACAATATTGTAACCCGCCACAATTGTAAAATCCGACCCGGGAAATCCGTTTTTTACGGGCGTGGTGCTACTACCTAATACTAAAACTAATAGTACGTCCTACCAGGATTTAGGCGAACATTATTGAGGAGGCCCTGGCCGGAGAGATTGATCAATGAAGGGGGGGGGGGGTTTATTAATGCGAAGTCAACATTGGGGTTTCGGGTTTAGGGTTTAGGGTTTAGGGTTGCTTGCTGACAAGGCTGCGCGGACATCCTTTTCCCCGATCGCCGAGCGCAATCGGTTGAGACGGCTGTGAGCTGCGTGGGCTCGTGGCGCGCAGCCACACAGAAAGAGATACGAAAGCAAGCCTGAGACCTCATTTCGGGTCTGGAGTTAAGGCTTTGGGGTTTGTCCCCTGAAAAAGTCTCTCATCAGACAGTGACACGGCACGCAAGTGGCTCAGATGTTCCGGTACGGAAGGCCTGCTCACCAAGACAGGAACTTTGCATGAACTCCCAGTCTCGGTCCTCAACCTAAAACCCAACAAACCCTGCCCTAAACCCTAAACCTAAACCCTAAACCCTAAACCCAACAAACCCTAAACCCAACAAACCCTAAACCCAACAAACCCTAAACCCAACAAACCCTAAACCCAACAAACCGTGAACCTCAGGAGGCCCAGGTAAAGCTGCCTGGCAAAGCCTAAGCTCACCGGAAGCCCCAAGCGTCAAAAACCCCAAAGTCTTCGACCCACACGCTGACCAGCCACACACCCTAAACCCTAAACCCTAAACCCTAAACCCTAAACCCCGAAACTTGCCTCACTCAGTCTCGCCCACGGCCTCGCAACACTCCTTCGCCATGTGTGCTTCTGCTGGGTTATGAAACCTGAAAGCTATAAGGGTTTTACGGGGTTCACATGGGTTGGCTTATCACAAGTTAAACCCTAAACCCTAAACCCTAAAACCTAAACCCTAAACCCTAAACCCCACGTCTCCTCCACTGTCGAGCCCTGCAAGTCTGTGGCAGCCTTGATAAGCTGCTTCCCCGCCTCCTTGCAGCCTGGGCAGGGCGGTGCAAGTTCTGAATTGTCCTAGCTAGGGTTGAGGGTTTAGGGTTTAGGGTTGAGGGTTGAGGGTTGAGGGTTGAGGGTTGAGGGTTGAGGGTTGAGGGATTAGGCTTTAAGGTTTACGACCCATCCCGTAACCCTAAATATCACAACACCTTTCAAATAAGCAATTAAAGCATCACCAACTACATGCTATTGTTGGGACAAAATACATGCTTTGCAGTTCGGACGTCGTGTTTGGCTCTGTCACGCATTGAAAGCCTTGATGTGCAATGCGCAAGACTACAGGCCCTAAAGATATGACCTTGGTATCCGGAAGTTCAATATCTGGCATGCGGCTCTCAAACCCTACGACAACAGTTAAGTTACAGATGGCAGAATGTGAACCGATGTTCACGCATGTCTGCTGCTTTGCAATCTTCCACTAATTAGTCGTGCAATTTGCGCATAGATCGGGCCACCATTTACATCGCCCTGCAAGTAGACGTCGCCGTCGTCTGTTGAAGCAACGTTGAAACGGAGAATTAACATCAGCTCTTTGATAGAGTCCTGCGCCTGTTTCACACGTATTTCCACATTCTTGTCAAGCCCCACTTATATCTGTGGGCCAGTGGATGGCACCAAAGACCGTGATTGGACTTACCATGCTGTAGCGCTTGGTGAATCTCACCGTCTTGCATTTATAATAACAATGCCAGACATTTGCAAGCGCTCTTCTGCCAGTTCCCTCCAACAAGGCCATTTCCTTCAAGCTTACCAATCAGGGAGCTCGTCACGGACGCAAGGCCGATGTACCGATTGCGATACGAGCTGCCTCCACACACATGCCTTAAGAAGCCCACTTGGTGCACCAATGGATTACACCAGGGACCGTGATTGGACTTCCCGATGCCTTGGCGCTTTGTCACTCCCCGCGGGCAAGCCATGCTTGGTCATTCCGAGCCCCGGCCCGTCGCCCCGAACCCCCCCAACTCCCCTAAACCAGCCCACCACCCACACTCAATCACTCAGTCATTTCAAGCCTTCCGGCGGCAAGCTGGATTGCGCACTGTTGAGTCAAAAATTCGAGTTGAACATCGGAAAGACTCTTCGCGGGACAACCGGCGTGAGGAATTGTTGAGCCCTTGCACTCAGCTGCGGAAACTGTCAGCGCTGAGTTTGCAGGGGAAGCCCTAGGACCCTAAACCTAAAACCCCAAACCCTAAACCCCTAAACCCTGGGAACCCCAGAACGAGCCTCGTAACCACCATAAACAATTATAAAACAAACACCCTGTTGAGGAGACTCCTAAGTGGGTTTAGGGTTTTGGGGTATAGGGTTTAGAGTTAAGTAAGTGGTGAGGGTAACAACCATTCGGGGGCCCTGGCATTTCGGGATGGAGGTTTCCTTTTTGCGATCTCTCCGTGCACGCAAGGTTCTTGAGGTCTTGCATGGACATTCTGGCACGGTCGATGACACGAGTCGGCGTGATTGAATGCGAAGTATCCCTAAACCCTAAACCCTAAACCCTAAACCCTAAACCCTAAACCCTAAACCCTAAACCCTTATTTTGCTCCAGATCAGATCCCCAAATCAAGCCCAACTTTCGATTTGGCCTTGCTTGCAAGACATGCGTTCCCTTTTGGGGCACCCGAAATATTAGGTGCCGTATTATCATCGGGATCCAAAAAAAGGGGCCCTAATGTTGACAGCCACCCATATGGAATATCCAGGAACATACCTAGTCTTTTTTTGCGAGAACAGGAGAAGATCGTTCTAACCAATCTCGTGCAGGCCGTAAATCTCTCAGCCCGCAACCTTCTTACCAAATCGGGAATTTCCTTCGAGCTCGTAAAGACAAACAGGGTGAAAGTACGGGATTAGGGAAGGGGTGGAGGTTTTCTGGGGATCAGGGGCACCTGCAACTTAAACCCTAAATCCTAAACTCTGAACCCTAAACCCTAAACCCCCTCAACAAAACAGGGGCCCTCCCTCTGTGGACCCGTGCCGCAGAAGTCCTTGCAGAAAACTGGGTCCTGTGTGTTGGGTGTGGGCTGTGTGGATTTGGGCTTGCGGGGTCCTGAGCCCTTACACCCAAAAACACCCCGACGGCCTTGAGCCTAAAAGGCCCAAAAACCCGAGAGAGCAAAGAAACAGTAAACATCCGAAGGGGTTTAAGGCTTAGGGGTGGATTGGAACTACCCCCCCCCTCACACTGCGCAAACTCCAAAAAACCCTCAAGGCCTGAACCCCCAAACCCTACATCCTCAACCCTTAACTCACAACCCTAAAACCCTAAACCCCAAATCCCAGAAACCTTGAACCCCAGAACCCTGGAACCCAAAATCTTATAATCCCGAAAGCCAAAAACTCGCTACCCCAGAACCTTAAACCCCACAAAGCCTGAACCCGAACACCTCAAACCAAAATCCTAACCCCGGCAATCCTCGACCCTCACAACCTAAACTCCCCAGAGCCCCCCAGAACTCCCCAAAGTCCCCCAAACTCCCCAAAAGCCCCCTAAACTCCCCCAAACCTTCCCCTCAACTCCCCCAAACCCCCCACTAAGCTCCCCCAAAGCCCCCCCCCCCCCTAACTCCTGCGGGTTTAGGGTTTAGGGTTTAGGGTTTAGGGTTTAGGGTTCCTGCATCCCTGAGGTGGGGCCCCGGGCGTAGCACTCCGAATCGGTGCTGCCCAGTCGTGGTTCACCTGCCTGGCCCAATGTGATGTAAGGGTTTTGGGGTTTAGGGTTTGGGGTTTAGGGTTTGGGGTTTAGGGTTGAGGGTTGAGGGTTTTGGGGTTTAGGGTTTGGGGTTTAGGGTTTTGGGGTTTAGGGTTTGGGGTTTAGGGTTGAGGGTTGAGGGTTTAGGGCTGGGCCGATTGAGGGCTTCGGGGCTGTCGAGCAATGGAGGCTTGAGGAGCGGTTTACGTCAGCAGCTAAAGAACCCGGACATGACGCCCTAAACCTACAGGAGAGATACTCTTAAGGGACCTTGGGGATTATTTAGGGGATATCGGGCATAGGGGCTATATAAGGGAACCGGCATATATAGGGGTTATATAGGAGACTAAGATAAAGGGTCCCTTCTAGGGGTCCTTCCTCATCCCAGTTAATAGACCCTAAGTCTCACAAAGCAAGCCCTAACGACTCCAAACCTGGCACCTTTCTGTAAGCAAGCCGCATCATGAACTCAGCAAACCCTCAAGGCTCATGTCTAAACCTAAGCCATGCACAGTGACGAAACACGGAGATCCTTGGTCATTGACCACTCGTATGCCCCTAAGCCCAAAAACCCTGCGGTTTCGGGCCGACGGCCTCCGGCCTCAAAGTCAAGAGTTTCAATCCGAAGCTGGCAATGTAAAGAGGCTGTCTACGTGGGTGAACCGACGAAACAATGCCCTGGCCTAATTCCCTCCACGCAACAATAACTCAATAGCCTGCTCAACCTTCAAAAAAACCGAAAGCCTGAACCCGAAGCTGAACTTCAAAAAGCTGTCAGAGGCGAAGAAGACTAAAGAACCAAGAAACCTACACCCCCGCAAACTCTCAAGGTCTAAGCAGGTAGAAGCTGGAAAGCTGCAAAAACCCCCCGAACCCCTGAGTCGCCAAACCACAAGCCACCAAGCCCTGCATAAACCCTAAACAACTCTAAACCCTAAACCCTAAACGCTAAACCCTAAACCCAAAACCCTAAACCCTAAACCCTAAACCCTAAACCCGAACCCTAAACCCTAAACCCTAAACCCTAAACCCTAAACCCAAAACCCTAAACCCAAAACCCTAAACCCTAAACCCTAAACCCTAACTGTAACTAGACCCAGGAGGCACCTAGGAACGCCCTTTCGGAGAGCAAGGGGCTGTAGACCCTAAACACAAAGGGAACAGGGGCCTACTCTGGGCCTTCGGTTGGGATGTTCTCCTTCATGGGGATTGCAGCACCCCCCCTCGTTTATAATCCCTACTAAGGGCTGTTAGTAGAAGGGGGGAACATCCCAAGCCCGAGGCAACAAACCCTAAACCCTAAACCCGAAACCCTAACCCTAACAAACCCTACAGACCCTACAGACCCTACAAACCCTAAACCCTAAACCCTAAACCCTACAAACCCATGAAGACCTGGCTGCCCGCCTGGGCGCCCTTTCGCGTCCACTTTGTGGGGAACTGAGGGCAGCAGAACACTTCGGAGGCTCGGGATATACACCCTCGACCCGAAACCCTAAACCCTAAACCCTGAACCCTAAACCCTGCACCCTACACCCCAAACCCCAAACCCTAAACCCAATAGGTTCGGGGTTCGCGGTTTGGGCTATAGGTTTTGAGGCTAGGCAGCCCAAATCCTGCATCATGGGCATCAGCTGCCACAGGCCTTTAGGGAGCATCAGCTGCCACAGGCTTTGGGGCCAGGCAGCCCAAAGCCGGACCTCCTGAGCATCAGCTGCCACAGGCCTTTGGGGCCAGGCAGCCCAAACCAAGCATCACAAGCATCAGCTGCAATAGGCCTTTGAGACTAGGCAGCCCAAACGGGCATCATGCGCATCAGCTGCCACAGGTCTTTGGGGCTAGGCAGCCCACATCGGGCATCATGAGCATCAGCTGCCACAGGCCATTGGGGTTATGCTGCCCAAAGCCAGCATCCCAAACAAAGCATCATGAGCATCAGCCACAGGCTGTTGGGGCTTGGGATCTCTGGGTGTGCGAAGTCCTAGGATGTCAACCCTGAGCCAGATTGCCAACTCTTCGACTCTTAAGACGCCGAACTCCTCAGTCTGCCAAGCCTTGAATCCTAATCTCGGAATCCAGTACCCGCCCACATGTTGCCCCTAAAAACCCACAAGAGAAGAGCTCAGATGATTGCGCCAAAACTCCAGAGCCCAAGCCCAAACCCGCAACAAAAATGCCCCACACCGAAAGCCCCTTTGAAAGCCCCTTTGAGCTGGAACAGCTTCACGCTGAGTCGTCGAACAACTGAGCGAGAACCTCACACCCCACACCTCTTCATCTTGAAAAGCTGAACTCTCCAAGCCCAAACCCCCCTACACTCAACCTAGCCCTCTCCAAAGAGTCTACATCAACCTCTAAACCCTAGACTCTGAACCAACCCCAAATGGCGGAAGGTTCTGTGCCGCCTGTGTCGTGTATTTGCTGCAGAGCTTGGGCTCACAGCACTCCTGACTTGGCGTTTAGGGTATGGGGCTTGCAGCTTTCAGGGCCTTGACCCACATTTGTGCGTCATGCGACTCTTGGCTGCAGAGGGCTCTCCAACCCTTTAGGGCTTTAGGGCTTTGCAGTAAACTCGAAAAAGTTGAGGCATAATTCTCCCCAAACCCCAAAAGGTATACTAAAGGGAATCCCATCTCTAGTCATCCTTAAACCATGTTTCCAACTTTCCGGAGTTTACTGTAGGGCTTGCGGCTGCGGGTTCCAGCCTCAGGACCCTCAATCCAAGGCCTTCAAACCTCCCGGCTGCAGGCTTGCAAGGGTTTGAATCGCAGGAAGAACCAGGGTTTTGGATTTGGGGTCTCGGATTTAGGGTTTCGAGTTTGGGGCTTCTCGGTTGCTGGGACTCCGGTCGCGCTTGGCGCTTGACCCGAAACCCCAAAACCCTAAACCCTGAATCCTATTTAAACCCTAAACCCTAAACCCTAAACCCTAAACCCTAAACCCTAAACCCTAAACCCTAAACCCTAACAAATTCCTGCACACATCTGCCACGTCTCCTCGTCGGTGCTGCCCAGCCAGCGCATCGCTTTGCTGTCCTGCAAGCCACGGGGCTTCGGGCTTGTAGGGGTTAAGGGTTTAGGGTTTAGGGTTTAGGGTTTAGGGTTAACGTTGAGGGTTAAGGGGCTTAGGTTTGGTGGCACCCTATACAGCCGAAAGCCTTCAGCGGAGTAGGTGGAGCATGTAGGGCTTGTGGGATAGATGCCTGCTGGGCTGCAGCGCTTCTCCCTTCACCTTGCACACTGTGGGTGGAAAAGCCTCTTCCCTGGTGTAAAATTTAAAACTTAGGGCTTGGCTTTGGGGCAATGACAACGGAACAGGCCAAGAAGCCTTCGGCAGCATAATTTCATGAACTGCTTCTGTCCTTCTTCCGGTCGTACATCGTGCCTAGGGAAGGTCTAAGGTTACGTATTTATTCTGGGGAGGCGGCGAAAAGAGTGGGGGGGGGGGGGGGGGGGGGGGGGGGGGGGGGGGGGGGGCTTCCTTACTGGAGCTTCATGGGTAGACATGTAGGCCATACCTAGTTCCCTAGTTCTAAGACAATAGCCAGCCCCCAAACCCCAAACCATCAAACCCCAAACGACCTTCAAGTAGACCCTAAGCCCTAAACCTAAAGCCTAAACCCTAAACCCGAGGTTTAGGTGTCAGCAGCACTGCACAGGGAGTTGCGTGGAGCATCGCGTGAGGTGCCCAGAGAGACACAGGGCACCGCGCCGAGAAAATTTCAGTTCATGTCTTGGGGCTTTGGCCTCTATGGCGTAACCCTCAGCCCAAAAAGTTGGCCGAAGTTTCAGGCAAACCAAGACTCTAAGTTTGTGCAAAGCCTTCCAGGATTCCAGGACTCCAGTCTTGGCATTGCGTCCACCCCAAGTTCAGGGCTTCGGGGTTTGAATGGGCTTTGGGAGGTTGAGGGTTTAGGGTTTAGGGTTTAGGGTTTAGGGTTTAGGGTTTAGGGTTTAGGGTCCTTAACCCTCTAAGCCCTGTATAGCCACAAGTCTTGAAATCGACGAGGCGGTGGTTGCCAGACTTCTGGTTTGAGGTCGTAGGCAGCTTGAAGGGTACAGTTTCCGGAGAGGGGCTTTCGGGTTTGGGGCTTTAGGAAGTAGGTACCTTCCACTGAACTGTTGTCGGAACACCTTTTTGAAACATACTGCTTGCCCCTGAGACACAGATCCAATCAACAAAAACAATAAGCTGGGATGTTGCCCCATAGCAGGGGTTACTATAGTGCCGATTAAGGACTGTTAGTATAAGGGGGAACATCCCGTGTTGGGTTTAGGGTTGAGGGTTGAGGGTTGAGGGTTTAGGGTTTAGGGTTCAGGTTCACGTGGGTCAACCTGAAGCCAAGAAACCGATGCCATCGCCGTCGTAGTCGGTTGTGCAGTTGTAATCAGAGCAGGACCTCCGCATCTCACTTTCTGGGCATGAGGGTTTAGGGTTAACGCTTTAGGTTTAGGGCGGGGGGGGGGGGGGGGGGGGGGGGGGGGGGGGGGGTGTGGGCTTTAGGGTTTGGGGAGTCTTGCCCAGTTCGAGCCAAGCAGCACCTCATCACAGCACTCCTGCAAAGAGTGCCACTGCCGTCTCCGGTCTACGGTTTAGGGTTTAAGCCTTGCGGCCAGAATAGGGGGTTCTCGAGGTTCTATACCAAACACCAAATATCGCAAACAAAAGGAAACCAGACAACTGAAACCTGAACTCCAAACACCAAGCTCCCTTGAAGGTCTCTAGTCTCAACCACCAACGAACTCAACAAACCAGGGGCCTTGCAGGTAGGTAATCTTCAGGTTTATGGCCCAGGGTCAGTTACATGTGTGTATACGTAGATATTATGCGTGTATGCATGAATATCCGTGGCCATGTTGTTTTACTTGCTACAGAGCCCTAAACCCTTGTGGACCCTTAGAGACCCCATACCCTAAACCCTAAACCGTAAACCCTAAACCCTGAACCCTGAACCCTAAACCCTAAACCCTGAACCCTAAACCCTGAACCCCTGGGCCACACATCATGGGATACAAGGTCGGGGTTGTCTTGCTTTGGGCACTTGGAGGTTCATGGGTAGTTATAGTAGTCAGGGTTGTAATTATGAAGGTTGTAGCTATAGCCCTATTTCGGCGAAATAGGGTTGTAAGTATGAAAGTTGTAGATATAACCCTATTTCGGGTGTCCATGAAACCTCCATGACCATGCCCGCATGTCCAAGGGCAAGAACAAGGGGCAGGTTTTGGTGCGCTGTGAGTTGTGATTGGGTGGTCTTGCTACTGCCTTCAGCTAACATATGCTACACCCGAAGCCCGAACCGAAACCCTGAACCCGAAATCTTACCCACATGACGAAACCTCGCAAGTTTCAAGAAGTGGGGAGGACCCAGTGGCCCCTTGAATCCCTCATTTAGGGTTGAGAAACCGATTGTGGTCCTCGAAGGTCCCGCCGAGTGTCTTGTCGTCCTCAGGCCACTTCCTGCCGAGGAGGGAGAGAAAGGAAGCCAGTATGAGGGTTTAGGGTGTTTGGTGTAACCATAACCCTGCTCCCTGGTACTGTGAGCACCGTATCATACCACCCCCCCCCACCCCCCCCAACCCCTAAACCCTATTTCGGCAAGGCTGCTGGAGCAAAGGTTGCGGATGGTCGGCCGAGCGTGGATCTACACCCTAACCCACCGCCTAATCCCCAAATCAACTGGCTCTGGCCTCAGCTACCCGGGTTTAGGGTTTTGGGTTGAGGGCCCCTTCAAGCGAAACCGCAAACCGGTGCAGATTGATGCTTCTCACCGTGTACTTCGGCTAAGGGTATCATAGGGTTTAGGGTTTAGGGTTTAGGGGTTAGGGGTTAGGGTGTAGGGTTTAGGGTTTAGGGTTTAGGGTTTAGGAATCCAACCTGGCCTGAGGGAGCATGGAATCGATTCCGCTGCGCGACTGGCGGTGCTTCAGACATCGGTTTTCGTGACCCGCGCGCGTGTCGACACGCGCGTAATTGCAGGAGCCTGTTGAGCTTCGAGGGTCTGGGGTTTGGGGTTTAGGCACCCTAAACCCTAAACCCTAAACCCTAAACCCTAACCCCTAAACCCTAAACCCTAAACCCTAAACTCTAAGCCTAAACCCTAAACCCGAAACACCCTTGATGTCTGGACCCAAAGACCCCCAAACTCCAAAACCTGTCCTGGCAGTCCACTTCGTCGAGCTGCCTTTGCTGGCTCGAGGGTGGCGCACCCCTTAAGCCTTATCAATGGGATGTTCCGCCCTATACTAACAGGGTTTAGGGTTTAGGGTTTAGGGTGTAGGGTGTAGGGTTTAGGGTTTCTAGCAGTCTTGAATAGGGAATATAGTACCCCCCCCCCCTCTTATTATCATCCCTTTTAAGGGCTGGTAGTACAAAGGGGGGACGTCCCAACTTATCAATCCTAAAACCTTCAAGCCCGGCATGTGGGGTCTGGGCTCAGGGTTTTGGGGGCCGCCGAAATACTCCAACAGACCAACAGAAACTCTGCATTCAATCCCTAAACCCGGAAGCCTACACCCTGAGTAAGCCCTAATACTAGATGACACTACTCCCTCAACCCCACTCCAAACTTAAACGCTACATGGACTATAGCCAAGAGGAGCCAACCTCCAGATTGCTACCCATGAACCTGCAGGTAAGTCGACCCAAGACCTAACCTTGAAAACCTGGGGTGCGCGCCCTAAATTTAGGGTTTAGGGTTTAGGGTTATTCTTGAACCCAAAGCCCTAAAACCGAAGCCCAAAACCCTAAAGCCTGACCGTCATACCCATAACCTGATGTGCACCCTGAACCGAATCTTCAAAGTGTACGGCGTCTGGCTCTAGTTCCGGGCACTGGGTGCCAGCGCACAAGTTCTGGGATGTTCTTTGTCTATATCGTGCTTTTATTTGGGGTCAGCGCTCAGAACGCAAGCAACTCGACAGTCTGGGCGTAGGTTAGGTTTTGTGAAGAACATCCCTAAAGCCTGTGAGCCGAGAACACAGCGCCCCTCTGAGGCCAATCCGAGTGGCAGAAGAAGTTCTTGCAGTACTTGGGCGTGCAGCACTCCTTTTCATTTCCGAGGGGCTGTCCATAAGAGCTTGAATCATTTTGGGGCTTGGAGGTTTAGGATTCAGGGGTTTAGGGCTGAGGGGTTTGTAGGTTTTTGGCTTCGGGCTCGGAATTGTAGGTGGGCACTCAGGGTTGATGCGGGCACCAAAGCCGTCCATCATGTCATGTTCAACATGTCGACCCCTAGCCTGCGGCATATCCTCGAAGGCACCATCCTTCTCTTCCAGCTGAATGGGTTTCGGGTTCAGGGCAGACCCCTACGGGTGGATTCAGTAACCCTCGTCCCTCCTTTAGTCCCTGATGGCAGAACCCTGAACCCTAAACCCCTAAAAATCCTAAAGCCTTACATCCCCCTTAACTCCTAAGCCTGACGCCACAAAATTAAACCCTGAAGCCCCAAACCGCAGGCCCTAAACCCCAAATACCCTTCACCTCTACAACCCTCCATACCGTGAAATCACTCTAAACCCTAAACCCTAAACCCTACACCCTACACCCTAAACCCTACACCCTAAACTCCTAACCCCTAACCCCTAACCCCTAAACCCTAAACCCTGGCCCTAAGCCCCAAACCCCCAAAAAAAATCCCCCCAATTGCCCAAACCGTCCCTCCGCCTCGTCGCTGTATCCCGCCCGGGCCACCTGCAAGCCGTCCTGCTTAGGGTTTAGGGTTTAGGGTTTAGGGTTTAGGGTTTAGGGTTTAGGGTTTAGGGTTTAGGGTTTAGGGTTTAGGGTTTAGGGTTTAGGGTTTAGGGTTTAGGGTTTAGGGTTTAGGGATAGACAGGCTCTGGGAGCTGCAGGGTCTGGAGGTGTTAGGGCTTGTGGGGTTTATCGGGTTTTGGGGTTCTTGCGGGGGAAAAACAGATTTAGGGTTTAGGGCTTCAGGATGTAGAGTTTCGGGCTTCCTGCCCTTCTCGGGAAGGCACGGGGAGGAAATGGGCGAGTGGGGAGATGTGCAAGTTGTCTAACCCCTCAACCCTAAACAGCCCTAAGCTTGTGTCGTTGGTATATAGATAATACTATCGCCGAAGCAAATACAAGTCCAAAAAAGCCTTTAGAAAGTCCTTGTCAAAAGTCCTCTTCAAAAACTTTAAAGCAAGGGTTTTCAACAAGTCTAAAAAAGTTGTCAAGAAGCCCTACAGAGAGTCTCAAACAAAGTCTGGGAAAAGTCTAGAACAATTCTAAAATAAGTCTCGGGGTCCTCCACTTCCCTCCTGAGACTCTGCCCGAGACTTTTTCTAGACTCTTACTAGATTTTTTCTAGAGATGGTTTAAAAACTTCTTTCAAACTTTTCCCAAGCAAAAGTCTAAAGCAAGTCCAAAAAAGTCTAGAAAAGTCTTAGAAAATCCAGAAAAAGTCTCCGGCAGAGTCTCCGGAAGGGAGTGGAGGTCGCCGGGAGACTCTCCCCGAGACTTTTCTTAGACTTTTTCTAGACTTCTCCCAGACTTTGTTTGCGACTCTCTGTAGGACTTGTTGAAAACTTACTTGTTTTGGACTTTTTGAAAGCCCGTGTGTTTGAAGAGGACTTTTGAAAAGACCTGTTTAAAGACTTGTTTTAGGCGTTTAAGTATTTATAGAGTTAACTAGGGAAGCCAACCACATAACCCTAAGCCCAAAGCCCTAAACTTATAATGTAATCCGACTGCTGCTACGACGACGACGACGACGACGACGTAGGGTTCAAGGGATATGGCGAAGGGGAAAGCAGGGTTTAGGGCTGTGCAGGGTTTCGCGTTGTACAGTGACCCCGAGCGTCCTTCGTCTCCTCGATGGTGGGTAGCCTCGGCGAGGAAGGAGGTGAGAAGACGAGAACTGTGCAGGTTCAGGGATCAGGGCTTCTACGGCTTTGGGGGTTCGGGGTTCAGTGTGGGTTTCGTTTTAATATTTCTTTTATTAATATTATTATCATTATTATATATATATATATATATTTTTTTTTGTTTTTTTATTTTTGTTTTTTTTTTTTTTTGGGGGGTGGGGGGGGGAGGGTGGGGAATATGGGGTTCAAGCACCTTGAAACAAGGCCGACATTGGACACTGAAACCTGGTGAGCCAGAGGCGGCGTCTTCCCGAAAGGGTTCAGGGCATAGGGTTTAAAAGAGGTGCAAGGCCCAGTGGCGATTCGTTGGAGCAATATGTCTGTTCCAGGATGCCATTTGTTTTACATGCTCAACTGGTTTCGAACCCGAAAGCCCTAAAGCATGTTTAAAACGCATGATTCTTTAGGAACACAACTTACTGAATGAACACATTGATATATTTCCAATAACAATCCAGTTCTGGTGGCTGAATACTCCCACACACACATGAAATTGTAATCTGCTAGAACTACCCAAACCCAACAAAACCTAAACCCCAAAAACTTATCGTCCTCAGCTTGGCTCTTCGCATGGTTTAGGGTTTAGGGTGGGGCTTGAGGTTTTAGGGTACCTTAACCCTACAAACAATGTTGGCAAGAAGCTTCTCGAACTGCGTAGGCTTGCTGCACTGGTAGTCCTGGATTTAGCTGCAGAGTGCCCAAAGCCCGCCACGACCTATAAGGTTCTAGGGTGTGGAAGTGGACACGCAACATAAAACCCTAGAGGCTGATAGGGAGTCTCAAGCAACCAGAGGGATTTGATCCAGGAAATCGCTTTTTGGATAGCTACAACTGCAATATCTTTGGCGTTGCGGCCATCATGTTGCAATGCTATGCAACTCCTCTGGGCTCTCACGGAAACATAGGTCTGGGGTTTGCAGTGGTTGTGTCTCAAAGTCCCAAAAGCATGCGCTCCAAACCTTGAACACTCTAAAACCCCTGAAGCATTAAACCCTGAACGCCTTAAAAGAACCCAAACCTCAAAGAGCAAACTCAACTAGGCATGCCTCTCGGGTCATTTACAACGAACTGAAAGCTACAATCAATCGGGGGGAATTTAAGAACTACTCCAAATTTGTGGACGGCGAGTGCAGATCAGGTCCAGGACGTGTGAACCTAGGCTTGGGTCGTCGGGGCAGCTCAAACACCTCAAACACTGTTTCGAGCTTAGGAAGTCAAGTCTAAAAGCATCCTCCATACCTTCAACGCCCATTTGGGGGTTTTCGAACATATGGGACCCCTAATACAGCCCCCCAATAGCTTAGCATGAGGACCCCAGATAAGGTAACCCCTTCTTCCGGAAACCTCCATTTGAAGCCCATGAAAGTGCCTGGACTCTAGACCAAACTGCCTCATGCATCAGTCCTCACAGCGCTTGAGGGTGCAGCACTCCGAGTCCGTGCTGCCTGGAAGAGAGCGATAGGATTTGGTGTTTAGGGTTTAGGGTTGAGAACTTGGGGTTAGGGGGTTTGGGGTTTTGAGGCAAGGGTTTAATGGGCAAGCCGGTATCGGAAAAACGAGATGGGCGCACACCTCAACTTCCCTGATCCCATAGGGATGAGGGATTATTTCGGGTTGGCCCCCAAGATTCCAGAAAGTCTCCACATGAACCCTCGGCTCTCTGCTCATTGAAAAGTAGGGACACTAAGCCCTAAAACCACTGCACAGAAATAGGGTGCTTCGGGTTTGAGGAGCATGCGTCGGCTATATTTTTGGGTAGGGGATTGCATCGTTATCCTTGCGCGGGGGCGAGTCGGCTGGGCAGCTGCTGTTTCTTCCTTTCGTGAACAGCAAAGGGCCCGCGTAAACCTTTATAAGCCTCTTGGGATTGGGGAAAAAACTGGCGCTGTCCTAAACCCCCTACACCCCCCACGTGGGAGTTTCCGAAATTAAGCGTACCTTGTTGGGGCCCTTATCATAAGGGGATCCTGCTATTTGGGGATCAATATTGGGGGGTCCCCCATTTTCGCAAACCCCCCACGCTGAGCCGCGCCTAGGCGATCATCTCCGACGAGGACGCGCAAGGTGGACTTGCTGCACTCGTAGTCCTGTGGTTGCTTAGGGTTTAGGGTTTAGGGTTTAGGGTTTAGGGTTTAGGGTTTAGGGTTTAGGGTTCAGGGTCAAACCGTAGGGTTGAGGGTTTCGAGGAAGGGAAAAGAACCACCCGAACCAAGACTCGAAGTCCTCGAACACCTCTGGGCACCCTAACCCCCTGAAGCACGACCCAGACCCATGGAAAATGGATGAAAATAACATACCTTGACTTGAAGGCTTTAGGGTTTTAAAGTTTATAGGATTCTTGAGTTAGATTCCGGGCTCTACCTTCGAGATACTCCCGTGCAGGTGTCTGAGAAACTGATACGCCCAAAACCCTCTTGAGCCCTAAAACACACGAACCAAACCCTAAAGCCTAAAACCAATACCCTCAAAGCCCGCCGACCTTGCAGTGGCGCGGCTTGCAGCACTGCGCAGGTGAACTGCCCCGTTCGGAACCCGATTCCTGGGCCGAGACTCGGAAGCGTTTTTGGAGCGGCGTTCTGCGTTTGAGGTCCCGCACGCGGGGGGTGTGGGTTATGAGGGAGCTGTATTGAATCGAGAGTGCCGATACAAGGTCCCTGACTTAGAACAACTCCAGATTTAGGGATTAAGGCCCAGGGTCTATAGTGCTTGGGCTTAGGTGCATTTGTGGGTCTCGCGTTTGAGCTGGTGTCTCTGATCCTTATTCCAACTCCCCGAAATAGTCCACTGACCTAATTTGAGGCTCATATGCATCGCGACAAGTGGGTAGCAAACCCTACTTATGGCTACCCACGCACCTCTAAGTACAGTTTTTAAGTTTTTGGATTGGGTAGGATGGCAGGCCCTTGACTCTACTGACTTCCCCTCGGACGATGCAAAACTTGTTCCAACATTTGCTTGAAGCTTGGTGTGCAAACACGGTTCTTACCATCCTAACTTTTGTGAGTTTAAAGCAGGCGAAAAAATTCTGCGGAATGGGGTGGCGCTGTCTTCGCATGGAAAAAGCAGCCGCCGCGCATGAAGATGCCATATAACCCCTAAACCCTATGCCATGTAACCCTAAACCCTATTTAAAAAATAAAAATAAAATAAAATTCGGGGCCGCGAGGCTTCAGGCCCATACTTGGTCATGTTCTCGCAGCTCAGGTCTTTGCCTCAGAAGTCAGCTCACGGCTTGCGGGGTCTCAGGGTTTCAGGCTTTCGGGTTGACAGGGTTGAGGGTTTTGGGGGGGGGGGGGGGGTTTAGGGTTTAGGGTTTAGGGTTTAGGGTTTAGGGTTTAGGGTTTAGGGTTTAGGGTTTAGGGTTTAGGGTTTAGGGCCTAGGGGTTTAGGGCTAAACGGCCTTAGCCGCAGGGAAACCATGGAAGCGACCCTGTCAGACTCCAACAACACCGCGGCACGCAACACCAGCTTTGTCGGGGGGCCCTTGCTATTCGGCAGCTTTGTCAAAAAAGGGTCAGGCGTGCAAGCCAGAAGAAATCGGTTTAGGGTTTAGGGTTTAGGGTTTAAGAAACTTCACTCAACATCGCACCCTGATTTAGGTCGGTTGCTAAGGCATACATCTTTCGTGTTGTGTTTGTTTGTGTGTGACCATGTCTTTCCAGCCCAAGCAAAGAGCTTGCCCCAAAGAAACCGCAGAAAGCATGCTTCTGGCGCAGGCGCGAATTCAGACCTGACTCAACAAACGTGCGCCTGAATGCTACAAAACTAGGCAACCCAGCATGGAACTTCGGTTGCAAGCTCGGTGTTTGGGGCTATACTCCTTTGTTCCGGGTTTTGGAGCTTTTCATTCCCGGCAGAGGTCTTGGAAAACTAGGCCCCCGACAGAAAGCCTCGTCACAGCACTTCTCGAACGTCTCTCCGATGCCTGGAAATGAATGGGTTGGGCAGGCCCCACAACAGCAAAAGGCAGAATAGGGTGTACTACCTAGCCCGGAAGAGCACAAATCAGGCTTCAATAGACGATGTTTGGGCCGTATTTTGGGCAGGGCTAGATAGGGTGGGGTGCTTAGAACTGAAGAGAGGGGGGGGGCGGCTTCAACCCAATTAAGCCCAAGAATCAACTCCTGAATGCACCCTACACCCCCAAAAACCGAAAACCCTCAAATCCTCCACCACCCCCAAAAAAGAAAACCCAAGACCACCCAACACTCTGCAAAGCCCCACTCCTAAAGCCTCAACCCCAGTCCCAAATAATCCCCAAAAACCCCAAAGATCCGCCAAGCAAACCCTAAACCCTAAACCCTAAACCCTAAACCCTAAACCCTAAACCCTAAACCCTAAACCCAAGATCTGCCAAGCTGCCAGAGGGCTTCTCCTTGTTCTTCCATAGGCCCTTGCCTTCCTCAGCTTCAAGGGTTTAGGGTTTAGGGTTTAGGGTTTAGGGTTTAGGGTTTACGGTTTGGGGTTTGGGGTTTGGGTTTGGGGTTTGGGGTTTGGGGTTTGGGGTTTGGGGTTTGGGGTTTGGGTTTGGGGTTAGGGTGTTGGGTTTAGGGCCTTACAGGGGCCTTACACCTAGTCCTAACCTCGAAGCCTAAGTGACCCTCTGCAGGGTTTGGGGCCTCAGGGTTTAAGGCTTCGGGGCTAAGGCCCTACCAAAATCGAACACGTCATGGGCCCCGTAAACCCCGCAACCCCTCAAAGCCGCCACGAAGGACAAGGAGCCCTAACCGGGTTTAGGGTTTAGGGTTTAGGGTTTAGGGTTTAGGGTTTAGGGTTTAACTGCGACAATCCTGAGCCCTAATAGGGCTTAGACTCCAGAATGAAAGGCTAAGTACATTGAATCCGGCGCGCCCCCTTACTGCCCGATTCGCCCGCAGCCGCAGACTCCTACCCCGAAAGCCCAACACCCCTAAATCCTAAAGTAAGGCCCTCAACAGGCCCTCAACCCCTAACCGCTCTTGGCTCAAGTGGCTGGCGCAGTGCACTTAAAGTCCTCGCACTTGCTCACGTCGCCTGGAAGTCTTTGGGGGCTTGGAATTGTTGATGGCTTTGGGGCTTTTGGGTTTGTACGTTAGGGTGGCCCTCATTCTGCTACCAACCCTAAACCAAAATCCCAATACTCCAATCCTTGCCCCCGAACTGAGGAGGTGTCCTTAAACACGTCTTCTGAGTGTACAACCAGGATCGTACTGTGTCGTTTAAGGCGCGCTCCCACTCCTTAACCACAACTTCGCAAACAAAAAAAACCTTAAGCCCTAAACGCCTTCACCTAAGTATTGGAGTTCGTTACAACCATCCTAATCCCCGAGACCAGAGCGTTTCCAGGCTCAGTGGCCAAGTAGTCCTCTACCCTCCCTAGAAATCCTAGAACCCCGGCAGAGCCCTCCGACACCTAGAAACCCTCTAGACCCAATAGAACCCCAGGAGCCAATTTCAACCCACTGAACCCAACAAGACCCTGCAACACCCCACGTAGCCCCTCATAAACCCTCTTAAAATCCCCAAAGTTGCGCCCTCGAAGCAAACCCTCGAACAGCCCCTACTTGGAGGTTCATGGTACCTTTTTTTCACTATAACTGTACCTATAACCCATTTACAAGCCCCGGAAGTGCCCTAATATGCTTATAAGTACAGCAATTGTTGGTTCATAAGTGCCCCTGAACCCTAAACCCTAAACCCTGAACCCTAAACCCTAAACCCCTACAAGTAACAGCTATTGTTGCTTCATAAGTACCATGAACCTCCGAGTAAGCCGCCCCATGGGTCGCACCAAGGCGCAGCAATCAATCTCGGTACTGCCAAGCCGAGGAGAGCCGTCCTGGCAAACTTCGTGTCAGAGTAGGGTTTAGGGTTTAGGGTTTAGGGTTTAGGGCTTAGGGCTTAGGGTTTAGGGTTCAGGGTTTAGGGTTTAGGGTTTTAGGGTTTAGGGTTTAGGGTTTGGAGCTCGGTGTCGTGCCATGGAGTCTCTCCTCCGACCCCTTCTTAAAAATGAAGTTTGGGAGACCCTTGCATCAGCCTCAGGGAGAGGGGAAGCACGTTTGGCGCTCGTGAAGTAGGAGCACCACCTGAACAACACCCAGGCACCGAGAGGAAACCAAGGAAACAGCAGGGTACTCTTTTATCGGAAGTGCAAGAGAACCGAACCCAATATTTCCACAAAAACAGAATAAGGGCCCGTTCTGACCCTCAAAACCCTGATCCCCTCACTCAAGCCCTAAACCCTAAACACCCTCTCTGTGGCGCTAACTCTTCCGGCGCCGTCCTCCAAGACGTCGGGCAAGCGCTCGCCGCGCTTGGGATCTGCAGCTGTAGATGCCCTAAACCCTAGACCCTAACCGGAGAGCCTCGATTCTTAGACCCTAGATCCTAACAAAATCTGTGTGCTTTGGGAGCCTCCTCCCCTGCACGCTACAGTGCCATGGTCGCGCTAGGTGGCGGGGCTGAGGCAGAGGTAGGGAATGACATGGAGCATCTTGTGGGCTTCCCAATCCCTCAGCCCTAAGCCGCAACAGCTTGCATGAGGTGCCTAAGTCGGCGAGGTCGGAGGGAGAGGCAGGGTGGTACAAGTCAGAAACCCAGGCATGACCGGGGTGGCGTTTTTGCTTGGATTCAGGGAAAGTGGTACATACTCATTGCCGGGTGTCCTGGGCACTGTGCCTCAGAGGGGACGAATAAGGTCTAGTTTTCGTGCCCCCCCTGAACGAACTCATGCGCCCAGATGCCCCCGTGACGGTGGGCGTAGCCTACCCTGCCTGGACTTGGGATCTCCAAGCTCACAAAAAAAAGTCGAAGCTGTAACGGCAAGCACTGACTGAGTTTCATGTCTGGTCTATAGCTTGAGGGTTCCTGTTCATTCCGGATCGTGGGCATATATAGGGCGCAAAGGGCAGCGGTGAAAGCGCTTCGCATTGGCGCGACTGAATAATTAGTTGCTTGCAAGACACAAGCCAAGACCAAAAGCAGGACTGCGGCATTGCGGCACTAGCTTCTACAGAGTGTGCTGGTTTGGGGTGTACAATCAACCCAAAACAAACTGTCGCTTGCCGAAAGCCCGAAACCGTGCATAGCGCAAACCTTCAAGCCTGATCCCTAAACGAGGGCAAGGTGCCGCAGACGCCCGGGTAGCTTGAGCAGAAGAGCTTGTCACAGCACTCCTGCATGCTCGTTGCAGCCGGCTCTCTTGCCCTGTTATATAACAATGGAGTTCGGCAAAGATGCATATATCAATCCTGGCTTCAGGTCGGGCTGAGGACTTTGTGAAAGGCCTTTGCAGGACTCAACAAAGGGTAACAAAAGGCAGGGGGCGGCTTCGGGCTTCTCCATTTTCTAGACGCCATGTCTACGTCCCAAGGAGCATGCCCCTGACCCGACAAAGCCTGCCTGCAAACCCGAGGAGTGGAGCCAGGGAATTAGGGAGGCGGGGACCCCCAAAAAAACAGAGGACCTATATTACTTCCGCACAATCCGGACCTGTCTTGGTCTTTTTGAGGCGGGTCATTTGACGGTGTTGAATGGTTCCGTAACCAGAGCTGCCATGCAAGCATCCTCCTCGGTGGTGCCTAGCAGCCCGGTACCTTTCCTCGGTTTCCGGTTCCGGGTTGCGGGTTTAGGGTTGCGGGTTTAGGGATGTCGGGATTTGGGGATTTGCTTCTTCGGGCATTTTGGGGGGTTTGGGCATTACCTCTGAGGACGGGTTTCAGGGTTGCGGACTTAAAGGGAGAAGGCAGGGGGCTGCCAAATTAAGGCCTGGACCTGAAACCCTGAGCCCTAAGCCCCAAACAGTAGTTTAAGTCCCAAACCCTAAACCCGAAACGCTAAACTTCCCCTGTGTGGGCTTCGGAGCTTTCAAAATTGCTCTTTGCACGCTTTGCGCGCGGCTCAACCCTCCATGTGGTCGAAGGGTGTCAGGAAGAGGCTGCCAGGCTTCTGGTAACAGCTCCCCGAGGCTTCAGCGTAGGGTTTAGGGTTTAGGGTTTAGGCTTTGGGGTTTAGGGTTCGGGGTTCAGGGTTTAGGGTTTAGGATTTAGGGTTTAGGGTTTAGGTTTCAATACTTCAGCTGGTGGGTCAGTTGTAAGCGACTTGGAGCAGAGTCTTCCCCTTCCGCAGCTCCAGTGCCCATGGTTTCTGAAGTCTTCTGGGGGACGCTGAGCCTGAAACTCTGGGTTTCGCGTTTGCGGAGGGTACCACTGAACACTGAAAAACAGTGAGGGTTTAGAGATTGGGGTCTAAAGGCTTTAGGGTGTTGGGGCAAAGCCTTCCCTTAACTCAAGCCGCCCTGTGCTGGCAAGATAACTCGAAAGCCCTAAACCCTCAACTCTGAAACCCTAAACCCTAAACCTCATAACCCTAAACCCAAAACCCTCAACTCTAAAACCCTAAAACCCTAAACCCCTAAAACCCTCCCTAAAACCCTAAACCCTCACCCTCAACCCTAAACCCGAAAATCTGCTGGCAAGTTGCTTGGGCGTGTACTTGCCGGAGCCTCGGCCCCCCGCGCTTGAAAGCGCACTGCAACAGCCCAAGCAGCCCCCATAGGTTGTTACAAGCGGGCTAAGCTTGCTTAGGGTGCTTGTCATACTACTTTAACCACCATCCATGAGCTGTGGAATCCTAAACAGCCCTCACAGGTTATTATAAGGCATAAGCGGGCAAAAAAAAAAAAAAAAACTATGCTGCTAAGCTTGTTCAGGGTACTTATGATACTACTTACTTCTATCCATGAGCCGCCAGGTATGCTCTCCGCCCTAAAGCCTACAACATCTGAAACCCTACACCCTAAACAACCCTGGGCCCTAAACCCTAAACGCTAAAGGCCTGAACCTTCACCCTCAACCCTAAAACTTGGGATGTTGCCCCTTGTACTAACAGTCCTTATTGGGGATTCTAGGGGGTACTATAAGCCCTATTAAGGACTGTCTGGGGGTGGGGGGGGGGGGGGGAGAACATCCCAACCTAAAACCCTACACCCTGCACCCTACGCCCTAAAGCCTAAAGCCAAAAGCCTAAACTCAAAAACCCAAAAAAACAAAAGCCCAAAAACCCAAAAACCCCAAAAACCCAAAAACCCAACAACCCAAAAACCCCAAAACCCAGAAACCCAAAAACCCAAAAACCCAAAAACCCCAAAACCCAAAAACCCCAAAACCCTAAAACCCTAAAACCCCAAAACCCGAAAACCCCAAAACCCTAAAACCCGAAAACCCTAAAACCCTAAACCCTAAACCCCAAAACCCTGGAACCCTAAAACCCTAAATCCTAGACAAAAACGAGGAGCTGCAGATGTCTTCGGTGCAAACCTGAGCCATGCAGCCTGGGCTGGGGATCCGCTTTCGGATATATAAGGGTTTAGGGTTTAGGGTTTGGGGTTTAGGGTTTGGGGTTTAGGGTTTAGGGTTTAGGGTTTGGGGTTTAGGGTTTGGGGTTTAAGGTTTGGCTAAAGAGGGTTTAGGGTTTAGGGTTTCGGGTGGAGGGTTTCTGGCTTGGGGTCGGCCGGGAGAAGCTTTACAATCCCCAGCATCAACGCCACAAAGGCCCGATTCTAAGTAGGGAATGAGGGAATAAGGTAACCCTTTTATAATCCCTTAAAGGGTATACACAGAGGGATATAGGGTACCTCATTCTCTCATTCCCTACTAACCAACAGTAGGCTATCAGGTACATTCCCCCCAACCCATCCTGGTAATAAGGCAGGTGTGGATTCCGGCGGGTGTTCGCCGAGGCCCGAGAGGGCTTTAGGGTTGGGGCTTGGGGTTAGGGTTTAGGGTTTAGGGTTTAGGGTTTAGGGTTTAGGGTTTAGGGTTTAGGGTTTAGGGTTTAGGGTTTAGGGTTTAGGGTTTAGGGTTTAGGGTTTAGGGTTTAGGGTTTAGGGCCTAGGGCCCCCATTTGTGATGCTCATGTTCTTGGGGTCGAGCAGGGGCTTCCCAAACTTAAACCGTCAGGTGCTTCTGTTGGCTTAGGGTTAGGGTTAGGGGTTTAGGGTTTAGGGTTTAGGGTTTAGGGCTGAAGGTTTAGAAGGGAATATGGGGGCCCCTTACATCTCACTCCCTTGCGGCCCCCTCCTCCCCAAGCTGTTATGTCAAGCCGAGGAGCATCGCTCTCGCGTGTTGCCCTGTCGCTTGTCCTTGGCTTGTCTTCAAGGGTTTAGGGTTTAGGGTTTGGGGTTTAGGGTTTAGGGTTTAGGGTTTAGGGTCACATGAAGGAGGGTTTAGATTGCTAGTATCCCCATTCTTTCTGTGATGCTTGAGTCCTGATCGAACCCGCATCTAGCAAATGAAGTCCACCTAATTAAGACTCGATCGGCAGCATGCACTCACCCTGCAGAGAGAGGGGGGGGGGGGGGGGGGGGGGGGGCAGAAATCTGCCAGTGTGCATGTGACGCTCTGCTGGCAATCCGAAGAGAGCAGGCTTAACCCGGCATAGACAAAAACCGTATCCTGCAATCGCGTCGCCTGCCCCAACACTACACCCAAAATGTACACTCCCCCCCCCCAAGAAAAAGGAGCCGTGTATACACTCACCAGCTATAGAAATATAAACCCTGCGGGTGTGGATTGCAGGCTTTGGCCTGCTTCTTCGGTTCTGAGGGAAATGATGGCCTTTGAGATGGGCATCCACCAGTTCAACTACGAGGCAAGGCTTGGGTCTGAAGACTTCTCTGGTAAACCGTTTTTACCCTTCAAACCCCAACCGGAAGCCCTGAACCCTAAACCCTAGACCTAAACTTTGCTCTAAAACCCAAAGCCCTCAACCCTCAACCTCTTGTCCGGAGACGGCCAGCTGGGGTTCGGGTCAGCAGCGGGCTAGCCGGCTAGCCCCAGGAACGGGAAGAGACTCAGGGTCAGGGTATCGGGCACTCAGATCAAATCAACAGACCCTGGCCTGACCAGGTTCCCCAGTACTCAGTAAACTTGGGACAAAATAGGACACCCTGGGCTCAATTTTTGTTCGGCCTGTGTACATTCAACTGTAAGTAGGCAATGAGATGTTCAAGGCTAATGAGCGCGCCACCCTACACACAAGCCCACTGATGGTCATGAAATCGCAGGGGGAGGGATACTTTGGTTCTAAGGCTTCTAAGGTGCAGACTCAGGGATCTGGGACCGTGGGACTCTGGCCCTTTTCCCTCGTGCTCATACACACGCATCTTACTTGGTCAGTGCGCCTGAACGTATCCCTTTATGCAAGCATTGAAGCAAATCGTGAACCTTAAGTCCTAAACCTGTGATCCGGTCCCGGAACAGAAACCCAGAACCCACAACCATTGTCTGCAGGAACAGGAAGCCTTCATGTGAACTCAGTACCCATCTAGCAGAGGAGCCTACATGAATACCAATTGGCGTTTGGAGTTTAGGGTGTTGGCAATCAGGGTTTACCAGCCTTTTGCCCTTTCAGCTATATAACTGCGGCAAACGACCCAGAAATACCATTCCAAATCGAACCCGAATCCCTGAACCAAGTGCCGGCGGGATTCGAAATCAGCAGCAGGCTTCCATTGGGTAGAAGGGCTGCAGCCGTCTAGCAGCTCGTCCTATAAACCCGAAACCCCCAAAGCCGCTCTCACCCTCCCACACCCCCGCCCCGGAAAACGCTAGTCCCTCAGCCCCTCTCCCAGCAAACTTTGGAGTTCTGGGCTTCGGGTTTGGGGTGCAGGGGCTGAGGGTGGAGCTTCGGCAGTATCTGCTTGAGGTCTACAGGTGAGGGTTAATCTTGTAACCCCGAAGCCCAAAGGATGTGGAGACGAACACGAAGACTCTCCCCTAACCTCAAACCCTAAACCCTAAACCCCAAGCCCTAAACCCTAGACCCTAATTTATTGCAACTACGAGCCCAAAAAACTAAACCCAAACTTCATAGTTCTTCGGAAAGGAATGGGGAGTTCGGATTAAAACAGGGACCCTGATTCCCGCAATCCCTACTAAGAACTAGTAAGTCAACACCTCGCTCTGAGGGCACTCCTTGCACAGGACGGGGTCGCAACACTCCTGGTCACATTGTGGCGCTTTTTGGGCTTAGGGTTCAGGGCTGGTGTTTTGGGGTTTCGGGTCTCATGGTTGAGTGTTCCGGGTTTAGGGTTTGAGGGGTTTAGGGCTTGGGGAGAGTTTGCGGCACAGGGTTCGGGTTTTGGGGCTTAAGGCCCGGGATCGTGCCTTGCTGCTACGCTTACCCGCGACCCAAACCCCCAAAACCCAAACCCCTGGCCCTAGACCCGAAGATCTCAGCAAACCTTGAAACTCAAAACTCCTGTTGCGCCAGACTTCAAGCAATACCCATGGGTTTGATTCATGTCCTTCACCAAGGAGGTTCGCCCCCCAAGACCAAGCTAACACCAAAATCTGGGCCTTAAACCCTCAAAGCCCTAAACGTCCTCAGCGAAACTGCGGCCGCAAACAGGAACCCTTCAAAACCCTATGAGGGTTAGGGGCTCTGGGGATGGACACAAGCCTAACCCTCAACCCTAAACCCGAAACCCCTCTGAGGGAAGGCTGCACTCCTAGCCGCGGTTCAGGGTTTAGGGTTTAGGGTTTACGGTTTAGGGGCCGTCCTCCAAGGTCAGCCCAGTGCCGGACGCTTTCGGCCTGAAACTGTAGCGAATGCCATCTCGAGGCTCGGGGGAGGGATAGCTTCTTGGTGGCCAACACGGCCCCTAAAATTGAGAGCAGATGCCCGGTGCTGCTAGTATCCCTATTGAGGCAGATGTACCATATACCCTCTTGGTGTCCATTTAGCCCCCAAAGCAATCGTTTAGGTACATATTAGAGTTGGAAGTACATAAAAAAGGACTCCAAAGTGGGGTTATCCCAACCCCCTACTGAATAACTGAAGTCCCGCGATTCTCCCAAAAAAACCCTGGAGCCCTACACCAAGCGCAAAAGCCCTAAAGCCTAAAGCCTAATGACCTAAAACCCTGACCCTTATGCCTTTTCTTGCAACACCCTACAGGCTGAGGCGTTCGGGCTCCACCGGAAGGTTGCTTGTACACTTACGGCCTCTGAGTTTCCTAGCGGGTTCTTGAACGGGATCGCTACAAGGAATGCCCGAAGTGAAGCCCTGAACTCTACACCCTAAACCCTAAGTCGTAAACTCTAAGAAGCCCTAAGACTCCAGTCACATACATCTGGCCTCCACTTGAAGGCAGGCAAACAACCCTGGAAGTCCGCGCACATCCGGGGTCTCAAACACACCGCCTCAAGCCAGGGTTGAGGGTTTTTAGGGCAGCTCCCCACTTTCTCCACACTTTTTGGGTGGTGGGATTTGTGGTTGAGGGGGTTTGGCATTTATAGGGTTTCTGGGTGCTAGGTAAACTTAGAGTAATCAGGGAAAAGGCACCACCCTTCTCGGCTTAATGCAGTTCATGAATAAGGGCCCGTTCTGGGTCCTAGACTTCTAAACCCTGCAGGAGAATAATGTTCAGTTTAGGGTTTATAGGGCTTAGTGGTTGATTAGGGTCCCTCTTTCGCGGGATGGCTTCTTGGTATGAACCCTATCTTGAAACTCCTGCATGAACGTACCCAATATCATGGGACCTCATGTAACTTAAGAGCCTCTAGGATGGCCCATAAACCCCTCTGAATCCTCTTAAAAACCTAAGCAGGGGAAATATATCCCATCCCAAGTGTTTAGGGTTTCGGGGTTTAGAGCCTAATAGGGATCCAGGTGAGGACTGGTTTTTCCTTATGAATGCCCTAACTTGAGCCCAGGAACGGGGTTTCGGGTTTCGGGTTTAGGGTTTCGGGTTTAGGGTTTAGGGTTTAGGGCTTAGGGATGACCGTCGCAGTGGGGCTGTTTGACCCGAATCTTGGGGGCTCACTTGGCTTCCAAGAGTTGCAGGAGGGCCCTTTTAGGGTTTAGGGTTTAGGGTTTAGGGTTTAGGGTTTAGGGTTTAGGGTTTAGGGTTGATGGCTTTCCTACATATGACCCTCTTGAGCCCATAAGGGAAAATTAGAAGAACAAAATCTCCCAAGGGCCTACCTACGACTGCAGAAGCTTGAAGCCCTAAACCCGGGTCAGGCACCCTGCGCCTAGGTCCAGAATCGAAACCCCCAACCCCAAACCCTAAAGCCGAAAACCTAACACCCCAAACCCTAAACCCTAAACCCTAAACCCTAAACCCAAACCCTAAACCCTAAACCCTAAACCCCAAACCCTAAACCCTAAACCCTCAACCCTAAACCCTAAACCCTCGACCTGAGAACTTAAACACTTTTAATCCTCAAACCCTCTGCACTTGGCCCAGGCTACCGAGACCGTCGTGGGACGTGACACCGCCGGGGGGCTGCTGCCACCTGAGCATTCTTTAAGCAAGTTTAGGGTTTAGGGTTTAGGGTTTAGGGTTTAGCGTTTCAACCCCTAAGCACCAGACCCCTCCGTGGACCCTTCCCCAGAATTTGTCGGGCTCCTTCTGCGATCCTCCTGCGGACTTCGACCCAACTTCTCATAAGGGTAGGGGACTTGATGAACGCTAAAAGGGTTCAGGGCTGGGCGCCGCTACCTTGATCTGGATGATAGCAGGGTTTAGGGTTTAGGGTTTAGGGTTTAGGGAGCAATGGGCATATATGATCAAAACTTTCGGGTTTTTGTTCGGCCCACCTGGACTGCAAGCATATCGCTTCCGCGCATTTTTTGTTTGACCTCTTCCACGACAAAATGCAATGTTCGTAGCAAGTTTAGCTTGCTACAGGGCGTACTTGAAGCTTCATGGGCAGTTACGCGTAGAACTCAGGGTTTATGCTACGATGATTTCAAGATTCTTTGACTACTATTTGCTTAACAACCCCAAAAGAGTAAACAAATACTAATGATCCCTATATTACCCTTATAAGGAGGAACATTTTTCCTTTTTTGGGGGGGTTCTTAAGCAACTGGTAGTTGAGGCAATGAAGGGCGAATTTCCGGGCAAACCCTACACCCTTTGTGAGGACTTTGGGACTTGATGCTTCCGATGGGTTGTAGGGGGTGGGGGGGGGTTGAGGTGTAGGGTTGAAAGCCCTGAATCCTAAACCCTAAACCCTAAACCCCAAACCCTTAAGGCCCCCAAGATAAAGCGGGCAGGACTCGATACTCCAGCTCCACATTCTCGGCCGTTGCTTTTACCTGGGACACGTGGAAAGAAGGCTTTATGGGCTTGAGGTACCCTAACCCCTAAACCCTGAACCCTCCTAAACCCTAAACCCTAAACCCTAAACCCTAAACCCTAAACCCTAAACCCTAAACCCTAAACCCTAAAGAGTGTCGGGGCATGTCGATCAACCTTCAGGTTAGGGTCTTGTGTCGAAATATGACTAGGACGCTGTGTTTTGCCACCACCAGGTTTTCAAGCCAAGCCATTTCCTCCCGGCCGCGTTCCGTAGGAGTCTCAAAAGTTGTCTTAAGCCAAAAGAAGTTACAGGTTACCTACGCAGTTTTGGCGAAGATTCGAAGGTTACACAAACCTCGAGTGAACTAGTACTCAGCTGCAACGAGGGAAGAATAATGATGCTTCGACTCATTATTGCGAAGCTTGTGCCCTAAACTCTACAGCCTATTGGATATGTCGCATCCTGCGCACGTGACAGCCCAGATAGCCTTTGCAGAATCGGCCATGTCTACGTCGCAGAGGGTTTAATTGAAGGTGTAGGGTTTATAGTCCCTAATCCCTCCATGTCTACCTTGATTCACGATCTATCCCACGCGGACTCTGCTTGATTCTGCAAGTAATCCAGTTCTGACGGCATAATCTCCTCCCACATATGAAATCCCTTGAAGGTACGGTCCTGAAGGTATACTGAGCTATACGAAGTATACCGAGCTTCCATTGTCAAGGTGTTCGTGCCGCTGCATGCCTGAAACAAAGAAAGCCTCAGGGAACCTACCAACTGAAACCCTGCAAACCTGAAATCCTTTAAACCTTGCACCCTGTTGGACAACCCACATGCCCCACACAAAGCCGGCCTTGTCAGTCACCCGCACCATAGCATTGCCTGACGGGGCTCCGTCCGTACAGACTGAGCACTATACCCCGAAATATCAGATTGCGGCTTGGGTCTTGATCACTCCCCCCTCCCCAATAACTGCAGTCTGCGACAAGTAGTAAAGGCCGCTTTCACGAATGCCCTCAGGAGTCATGCACCAAAACCCGCAACAGCCTGAACCCGAATCATTAGGAACTCTGAACCCCAGACTCAGACCCGAAACCCTGCACCTCACGTACTTCGTTAGGGCTCTGGGTCTCTAGAGTTTGGGTCCTTGGGTATGTCCGGGCTGCCTACGACTGGACATCTGCGTCCTGAAGCTCCAAACCACTCAAAAACGCCCAAAACAACCAAAACAGCCTTGGCATGTTCCCCCCTATACCAGCAGAATTATAGCACCCCCCGATTCTAATCCGCTTTCAGGACACCTCGGCTTCCAGTCTTCCCCTTCGTGGGGACTGAAGGGAACCCCAAAACGGGAATAGGGTTTAGGGTTTAGGGTTTGGGGTTTAGGGTTTAGGGTTTAGGGTTTAGGGTTTGGGGTTTAGGGTTTGGGGTTTAGGGTTTAGGGTTTGGGGTTTAGGGTGTAGGGTATAGGGTATAGGGTTTAGGGTTTAGGGTTTAGGGTTTCGGGTTTAGGGTATACACCTGCAGACCTGAAGAGGGACTGCCTTGTAGCATTGGGCATATGATCCCACTCCATAGGCTCTGCGGTGTGAGAGACGACCTAGCCGACTAAAGCCCTGAAGTTCAAACTCTCTGGCTTTCGGGCGGTTTAGGGTTTAGGGTTTAGGGTTTAGGGTTTAGGGTTTAGGGTTTAGGGTTTAGGGTTTAGGGTTTAGGGTTTAGGGTTTAGGGTTTAGGGCTTAGGGCTTAGGGCTTAGGGCTTAGGGTGGTCTTGGATTTGAGGGCTTCGCGGACCCAACACCCCAAATCCAACCAGAACCACCCGTTTCTTGCAGCGCCCTGAAGGGAGGCACAACTGCCTCTGACTGGTCGAGTACAGCCCAAAACTCTGTTCAAGCGCTGTAGGCTTTGAAAACCTCACGCTGCAAACCACCAGTAGCACCCTAACCCTACGTAACCCTGAAGCCTACAGCCATAGACCCGACTCCGTGAAGCTCAAAAAGCCCTGACGGCCTGAAGGCCTAAAGCGCTAGACACCAAAACCCTACAGCCCTGAACCCTCACCCAACACTAATCCCCTAAAGTCCGTGGGGGGTGTTGGGGGTTCAAATTTAGAGGGTCATGAACAGTTGCTTATGTAGTTGCTGCTTATCTATTTTAGGGACCTGAGCCCCAAGTAGACACTGGCAGAGTCCCTCTTGCGCGTCAGAACCTATGACTTGAGGTAGGATTCTGAATCTTGGTCCCCAACAGGACACCCAACACTGTTCCGTGCACCAGAACTTTCATCGGAGAATACCTAGACTCGCCAAGCCCGTCATCAAAATCCCGAAGTCGCATAGGCGCTAGGTACCTCTTAGGCTTCCGAGCCACCCCTAAACCCTCACCTACACCCAGCACCCCGGAACACTTCTGGAAGCAGAGCACCCTCGCCGCCCGGGAAGCCAAACCTGGTCCCAACTTGGCGGGGCTTCGTTGGGTGGGGTTGTGGGGTTGTAGGGTTTAGGGTCCTAACAGGGTTCCGGGCGCTAGTTCTTGGGGCAGTTACATGGTCCCTTCATACGGGCCCTTATATCAACTAGCTGGGGACCCTTACAAACCCTATACAACCCAGGTTCATGTGTAAGCCCCACGAGCCCTTTGAGCCCGGCAAACCCGCCACAAACCACAGCCCGAAACCGAACCCAACTAGCCCTAAAAGTTTCGGGTTACCTAAATCCTCAATCCTAAACCCTAAAGCCCAAAACCGAAACCCTAAACGCAACCTTGAGCGCACATTTTCGCCCCGACCCGTGATGGAAGGCCCCTTAGAACCCAAAGCCCATTTTTTGCAGGGTGTAGGGTCTAGGCTTTATGAGAAGAGCCTACAACACAGTAGGTTTTGGGTTCTGAAGGCATGCCTTAAAACGTGCCCCGAAGCCTGGGCCCTGCACAGCCACATGAACTCCCAGCATGTGCAGCCGACCCCTCGCTCACGTCTGCTTTCACTCGCATCTCCGAAGCTACCTGCTTAGGGTGTTTGGGCGTTTAGGATTCTTGGGGTCTAGGTGCCCTAAACCCTAAACCCTCAACCGTAAGAAAAGCTTTTGGGTGACCCCCAGAGCCTCCGTCCTGAATGCACCCCCAAACCTCGAAACGCCACCCGAAGTGCTGGGATCCATCCTCCCCCCCACCCCCTCCCTTTCCCGATTGTTGAGAAGGCGGTAGGGTTTAGGGTTTGGGGCTTAGTGCTTGGGGCTGAGGGCTGAGGGCTGAGGGTTGAGGGTTGAGGGCTTAGGGTTTAGGAACATAGATGAAGATAGATGAAGCCAAAGAGCTCGAGGTCGGTGCTGTGTTCCGTGGAGACTTTGGCCTCACAGGTCGGTGGCGGTTTAGGGTTTACGGTTTGGGGTTTAGGGTTTAGGGTTTAGGGTTTAGGGTTTAGGGTCCCCAGACTTGATCCCAAGTCAAGCATTGAAGAGCTCCTTCGTCTTACTGGGGGAATGGGGGGCGTTTGGAACCATACATCTGGTTACTATTCTTGGTTTAGAAGGAACCAAAGCCCATCATTCCCTACCAAGCACTCGTAAGTGACTTGGCCAGCCGGCCCTAACGATTGCTGTTGAGAGAGGAGCGTGGGGCGCTTGAGCTTCATACGAGCTCGGGTCGGGTTTCGCCCCTTGGGGAAGGGATGCGTGGGGGGAGGGGCCTGGGACATGGGGCAGTTACAGAGACATGGTCGCATGAACTTGTACAACCCCCCTAAACCCTAAACCCTAAACCCTAAAACCCCTTTAAGGGGTGAGCAAGGTTTCGGGTCGTTTAGGGTTTCAATGGCATCCTACAAAATATCGCCCTCATGGTCTCCCTCCCTCCCTCCCTCTCCCTCCCCTCAAGCCCTAGAACCTGGGACCGCTCCGGGCCTTGAACTCCCAGATGGTGCCCAGCTGCCAGTCTTGATCTTCCTTCCCCAGCTCGGGTGTTCGGGTCAAGGGTCCAACTTTGGGTTGACCCTACACCCTAAACCCTAAACCCTGGAGTTCAGGGTTCCAGGGTAAGACCCGCAACACTAAAGCCTACACCCCTAGAGTTCAGGGTTGCTTGGGTCAGGCCCAGTTTAGGGTTTAGGGTTCAGGGTTGAGGGACATGGGGGTTCAAGGGAGTCGGCGGCTGGGCGTTTGGGATGGTTCTTTCGGCGCCGCAAGTCCGGAACCCTAAATTATTCCTTTCTATATTGCTTTTCCACTCTTACATGATTATACTAGAAGAATATGAAGTCATTCTTTTGCACTATATCACTATAGCCAACTGCTTGAGAGATCTGAACCCTTCAGCCCTGAACCCTTATAAACCCCAAACCCTAAACCCTAAACCCTAAACCGTAAACCGTAAAGCTTTGAAGCACTAAGCCTCAAGACATCCTAGAACACTTCAGAGCGTGGAGCATCCTGCCGGAGGCAATACTTCGTGCCATCACACTAATGTAGAAATGGGGTTTAGGGTTTAGGGCCTAGGGTTTCAGAGTCACAGCTGCAGTATACAGAATTCCCGATCGTTCTGGCAGGACAAGTCCTGCTTGAGGAATGCCAGGGCCACCGCCCAAGCACAAAATCCTTACCCTCCACCCCTAATCCCTAAACCCGAAAAAAAAAGGAACCCTAAACCCTAAACCCTAAACCCTAAACCCTAAATCGCATAAACCCTACCGCCCTGCAAAGGGTCCTTTAGCAGCTCGCGCAAAGCCGCGAGGTCGACCTCCCGCAATGCACCCCCAAGGGGGGGGGAGGTATAGGGTTTAGGGTTTAGGGTTTAGGGTTTAGGGTTTAGGGTTTAGGGTTTAGGGTTTAGGGTTTAGGGTTTAGGGTTTAGGGTTTAGGGTTTAGGGTTTAGGGTTTAGGGTTTAGGGTTTAGGGTTTAGGGTTTAGGTTTTTTTTTTTTTTTTTTTTGGGGGGGGGGGGGGGAGTTTTTCTTACCGGTTCTTGGGTTTTGGGGGCTTTGGGGTTTTGGGCTTAGGGTTTAGGTTTATGGTAGTAGTTCTAGGTCTTTAGGTACCTTAATCCCCGAAGAGGGTGGATAAGGTACCTAACTCTCCAAGACCCCCTCCAACTTCATAGTGGGTGGGTTCATTTGAGGGCTTCTGTTGGAGGGCTGTAACCCTAAACCCGTAAACTCCATGGTCCCTAAACCCTAATCCGAATTAAACCCCAAAACCCCACTTGGGGCGATGGGGGGAGCCAACTCAGGCCCAACCACGGGGTCCTTCAGGGAGGTCCAAAGCCTGGGGGGGGGGGGGGGGGGCAGTTTCATGAAGGTCTTGGGGGGTTTAGGGTACGGGCATAGGCTTAGGGTTGAGGGTTTAGGGTCTAGGGTTTAGGGCAAGCACACCCTCCCGCCCCCCTCTAATAAACTTTAAGGCTGAGCTGAGATTGAGCGACGGTGACAATTGAGTTTCCCTTTTGAAAGGGGGGTGGGGAGTTCGCAAGGTAGTTGGCGAACATCTATATCCCCCGTGGAACCAGAACAAAAATCATATTTTCAACATTCTTTCTGGGTCTTATATAGACATTAAGGGAGCCTCAAAAAGTAGGGAGTATGTACTGGGGCTTTCTAGGTAACCTCATGCGTCCTCCCTCCACAGTCTGTTTTGGGCACCTGGTCAAAGAGGTCGGCGAACTGTGTCAGGCCTGCGAAGCGCGCTTGGAACAGCAACACAGCAGGTTGAGAGTAGGACTTCTACGATTGTAAGCAAGACTGAGGGTTTAGGTTTAGGGCTTATGGTTTAGGGTTTAGGGAGTACTCCTCATACTCTTCCCCTTGGAGACTACATGAACGCACCCCTACAACGGTTTCGGGCTCAGGGCTACAGAGGGATTATAGTCGTATACAGAACTCACCTAAACCCTAAGCCCTTGAGGAGAAAAGGGCATCCCCCAACACCCTCAACCCTACACCCTGCTTGAAGGCGATGTTTTTGGCCCCATGGGGTTCTCAAACCCTAAAGCTTAAGACGCGGGCTCTCCCCCATCCTTTCCTGAACGTGTCAAGAGGATTTGGAGCTTAAGACCACGTTTTGTTACTACCGTCCCAAAAGGACCCCGAATATATAGAGCGTGCCTCTGGACTTTATATCCCCCACTGAAACAGAGAAAAAAGGAAAGATTTTCTGCCCCGTTGTCTCATGCGCGGATACCCAGAATCACAGAGAAACTAGCCGTTTTTGTTTCTCTGGACACGACGAGGTCTGCGGGTTCTCGGGAGAAGGAACGGGGCTGATTTCCGGGGAAGGCCCTAAGCCCTAAACCCCAGCACCTAAACCCCAGCACTTGTCAACCCCCCCAAACCCTGAAACACTAAAAAACCTTTGACGAGCAAAACCTGAAACCCCGAGCCCTGAACCCTCTAAAGCAAACTCCAAACCTAAGCACGAACCCATGTCTGCCTCCAACAAACACCCTACACCCTATCGTTTATAAGGTTTGGGTTTAGCACTTCGGGGGTTGCTACTTTAAACAAAGGGCCTTGAGCGGAGTACTCCGCATCAGGCGAGGGGAAGCGGTTGCCCGCACACCACTCCT